TTCCGACCGGCCGGGCCTCCCTGTTAGTCGGACCGGCATACACAGTGCGCCCAAGCTGTGAAAGCGAAAGGCCCAGTTGCATCGTGGATGAAAGTGGGTGCTGTCAGCGTGTCGGTCGACGTCGCGCGCCGAGTGAGGTTCGATACGACACGGCAGAGCTGTGACCTCTACTGACACATTGCTGCACAGTGCACAGCTCTGGCTGGATATGTGCTGCATAGGTTTGCAAACTGCAGTGTCCCATTCTCTGGCACATGCTCCGATGGAGAGCCGTGAGCGCAGCATAGCGTAAGATACCTAGCTGTGACCGTCTTTTCATACAAATAGATCTCAATGTGAACACAGCTTGCCTGCCTACCAGCAGGCCACGAACCCACAAACACAAAACATGATGAAATGAATGAGTGTAAATTTCAGTCTGTTCACCTTGGTGCCTGGTCGCTCGGTCAGCCCCTCCACGGCAGTAACTCACGGTCCCATCGGCCGCGGCAGTAATTCACGGTTCCATCGGCCGCGCGTCTCATTAGTGCAGCCCAAGACCGTGAACGTGACTGGGAGTGTCCTTGGGTAAAATGGCGGCAATAGCATTCACTCATCAGTGGGCAAAACGGTAAAACGGTACAACATTGGACTGAAGAGTGAAGAGGTTCTTACAGTGTCACGTCATCGGCCTTGTTAACTATATTTAGGTAGGTATACATGCTACGGACGGGGTAGGTACATACATGAAGAATTTGAATGAATGATAATGATAAATGCATGAATAGCGAATGCCTTTGACCGATTTAAGGGGTCCTTCCCTATTTCCTCACTTTAGGATATCCCTATTGATTTGATTTGTGAGCTGCTTTGATAAAATATTTATCTGACTTTTTTACTGCGGTCTCATAAAATGGTGTGTCTGGTTCGGCCGTCTGAAACTAGTCTTTGATGAAGTAATTTAAATAGCCTAGTTACCGTCATTCACTTCAGTCAATAATCGCGTTTCTAACAGGACGATTTTAATGAGAATATCTGTCGAAGCGCTTTTCCTAAATAAGACACAAAATCGCTAACATTTATTTTGTTTCACCGGTCATCAAATTGTGCTTATGATTTAGTTAAAGTTTCTTGAAGTCCAACCGAGCAATATTTAGGGAACTGCTGCATTACACAGTCCTTTGTTCTGCCATATCTAAAAACCCTACGCAATGCTCCAGCAATGCCCAATTGCTGACCGCGTCCTCGATGGCTTCCCATGGTCTACTGACGTCACCGTGACTGCCTTTGATGTTGGTCATGAGTGCTGTGCATTTATACCTGAGAGCAGACCACTGATTGAGTCCAGTGAGGACTGAAGACGCCAAGTCGCCCAATTAAGGCGAATTTACGAGTACCGTGGCAACTTCAGCGCCGCCTGTACCGCTGAGAAGGTTCTAGTCCGACCCGACACACGTCCCAGTCCCACGAGAACTCGATGCCGGGCTGGACCGAGTAAAAAGCCTCGCCGCTGGAGTCGGCTCTCCCTCCACCGCCAGTTGCAGGGCTGCCTGTCGTTTTTATTGTTGCGGAATGTTCGGCGGCACCTCAGTCCGCGGCCCGGCGCGCTCCGACCTTGGCGGGTGGTGGAGCACCTGTTCGGGGCCGTCGGCACACGGTGTGGTCCGTGTTGCTGGCTCCTGGTGGCTGCGGTTAAGGAGTTCCACCCTGCTTACCAAGGCCTAAAGCTCCTCTGTTGCTCGAGGTGCGAAATTCCTGCCGAACGCCGACCTTGAGTTCCCAAACGCTTACGAAAATCATGCTCGCCGGTCATGCCAACAACGCTGTCATCAAACTTGATAGTTTACACCCGGATGTGGAAGCCGAAATTGCACTAATAAAACACTGGGTTACGGTCTAATATCTTGGATAGGTACTATCATGTATTTTGCGTGCACGCAGCTGACGCAAAAACCAAGCACCTGCGTCACATGATGCAAGATCACGGCCATCCAGCGTCGGGCCGTGAGATGAACAGTGAATATGCTGATTGCTGGCGCCGGTCAGTGTCGGTCAGGTCACTGTCCAGTCACAGTGTCCACTGTCCAGTCCAGAGTGACTCCAGTCTCCACCACACCTCTAGGCTACCGACTCACCGCCTACAGCGCCGCCTAACGGACAGGTAGGAAAGTTGTCAGCAGAGTGGCGCAGTGGAAGCGTGCTGGGCCCATAACCCAGAGGTCCGTGGATCGAAACCACGCTCTGCTACGTTTTCCTTCTCATGCCTGTGTTATAGGAGAACATTGTGAATGTCAGGGAGTGTTTTCCGCGATCGCTGCTCGTTTTGCTACTATTCCCCAGCAGCTCTCCGCAGTCCACAGGACCCTCGTGTTAGGGGAGAGTGGGGCAAAGCGGGCCAGGGTATATTGACTTACACGGCCACCCTTCGTTTCACCCCTGCACGGTGGCCCTTTTTCAGAATTAGCACGCATAAATTCAAAATATTTTTTCTCTTCTTTTGAGTAAAAAGCAGTCTAATCGTGTGCAAAACATTCCAAACTATCCGATGGTGCCATTTTTACCTCCTAAAAAATAATTATCTTTGGTAAAACTGACCGCAAAATCGAAGTTTGTTGAGAGGCGCGCGGACACCACCGGCGGACCCTAAAAAGTAGGGTGAGATAAACATTAATTTGTAAGGCTTTCGGTGAGAAAATATTAAAAAATTAGTGGCATGGCTGTGAAGCTGAGTTTACGTAGAAGCCCTAGAAACCACAATTTTCATTGTATAAACTTCAATAGACCACTTTTGCCGAATATTGTGGACACAATAACAGGACAATTATTAACTGGAGATGGCGGCATACATATGAAGCTTTATGTTAAGTAGCACACTCTGGAACATGTCGTATCATACATCGTTCGAATCGCCAATCTCTTCTGACCATGTCCACCAAGGGGCATCGCGCCATTTTGCGCCATTTTGCTTCTACGGTGGATAACGTGAGCCAGTTCAGTCCGCGAGCGGCTGTGGCTGCTGTTCGATAGGTACCACTAAGCTCATTGACCTGGCTCGAAGCTGGTGTCACCTGTTGTGCGCCTAAATGTGGCTTGACTTTTGCCATAAGATGTGCTAATTGAAATTATACTAACGGTGGCTGGCAACAGCTGTAGATGCGGTCACGTGACGCCCTGGGGCGTCCTGGCGGTCAGTGCAGCGCGGTCGGCTGGCGGGCTCGCCACACTTGCGTTCGGAGCGGCCTGGCCGGCGGGCGAGCCGTGCGAACGTGCGCCAAATCTTGGCCCGAGCGGCCTGTCGCTGTTGGGCCGAATCTCCTTGGGCAGTTCGTTTCTTTTCTTCTCTTTGCATTGGCAGGGAATACGTCCTTGATCACGTGGTGGTGTCTTGCACCACTTTCAGGTATTGTGGGAATTAATGCGTGCTAATTCTGAAAAAGGGCCACTGTGCCCTGTGCAAATGGCGTCAGCTCCACTTAATGGTTACCAATTAATTAGGTAGGTACTTCTCTTTGCGGTCGTTCGAATGAGCCAGACCGGGATTTCCCACTCGCCCCAATTTTTCTGTTACTGACGGAATGCCATATTTTCCCAGATTATTCTGGGAAACCGTCTGTAAATTTTAATGCGTTTTTCCCACTAATAACAGAACTGACTTTTTTTCTTTTACCTATCTCGGATTGTAGGCGCGGGGCACTGGGCGAGTGACGCTAACTTTACGGACATGCATTGTGGGCAGCTTCTAATTCTATAAGTTATCTCAATTTGAATAACAAACGCAAGGTGCCTGGCTTATGAGCAAGGGGGTCCTCAGAGGCCGGTCGGGTAAAGTGTCCTTAGAGGCCGGCGGTACTTTCAGAAGCCGTTTGGGTCCACCGTCCAAGACGGCACGGTGCTCTCAGACGTAGGTGGGACCCTCTAAGTTGCCGGTGTGGGGCCCTCAAAAGTCACCGATGGGTGGCCGTCAGATGTGCAGATGTGGGGCCTTCAGAGGCGCTGGTGTTGGGCCCGCAGAGCCGCCTATATAAGGCCTCAAGAGGCATTGGTGTGGGGTTCTCAGGGGTACCGATGTGGGGCCCTCAGAAGCACTGATGTGGGACTCTCGGAGATGGCAGTGCATGTGGGGTCCTCAGACGCGCGGGTGTTGGACGGTCAGCGACACTGGTTTACTTAGGGTCATCACAGGCGTGCTTGGGTCCTTACGCGGTGATCCTTAGGAGTTAGGCTGTTGGGTCCTTACTTTAGCCCTTAGAATGCTGGTGCGAATCCCTCATAGGCAGACGAGCCCTTTAGGGGTCCTTAGAGACCGGTATGGTTGACTCTCAGACGCCGCTGGGACCTACTGAGTCACCAGTGCGGGGCCGTCAGTCAGAGTCGCTGGTGTGGGGCCCTCAGAACCGCCGATATACTGCACTGGTGTAGGCCCTCAGAGATGGGACTGTGCGAGTCCCTCAGTTACGTCGGTGTGGCCGTGTGGGCTCTCAGAGGTCCCAATGAGGGCCCTCACAGTCGCCATTATGGGGCCCTCAGAGAAAATTGTGTGGGGCCAAGGGCAAGGCCATCACACAGGCGGATGTAGGGCCCTTAGAGGTGATTGGTGAACCAAAATCGGCCGGTGGGGGCTTTCAGAAGCTGGTATTGGTAAGGGGCCCTCAGGGGCTTACGTGGCGTGGGGTCCAGGGCCCTTGTGGATCTCTTAGCGTGGCTATTTAGGAGCCCGCCCATGTGGTGCTCTTACGCTCTTACGAGCTCTGTGGGGCCCTGCTGAGTCGAAATATGGCCAGCGTAGACCCTCAGCGCCTCAGCCGCTAATAAGCGCCGTTCTTAGCCTTGGTGATTTCATTTTAGTAGTTACCCACTTATTTACATCTTTTTAGGGCCTTGTTCACACCATTCACTCCAACAACCAATGGTAACCCTCCTTTTTGCCCTGAACTAGTGACGTCACAAGACCAAATCTTGGAGAAACCCTTGGAGAAACCTCAAACGTTGGTGAGTCGAAATCGTCGACATTTCGTCGCTTGTTTTTCAGAGTTTGGTGGTGGGGGAGGACGAGGAGTGAGTTATCGGAGTGGGATAATTGCTGAATTTTCGCCTTGTAGCTGTTTTTGAATGAAATATCTTCCAGATCAGCAATCTTTACAGCTTCTTTAGGTAAGTTTTATGGAAAATATTTTTGCCTCGTACTGGAGGACTCCGGAATACAAAGTCACTAGTCAAATTTTTTCAGTAATGATATGAATATCAATTATGGCATGCATATATCTGTCAGCATGTTGATTTTTTATTAGCTTGATTTTTTACCTGATGTGCTCTGAAATTAGAATTATATCAAATGTATTCTGTGAACTGATATGACATTGCCACTCAAAGAATTGGAATAACCCTGAGCAGTCGGGCACACTATGGTATCGGCAGTCCATTTATGGATACGTATCTATTAAAGGAAACGTTTCCAAATTTGGAAGGCACTTTGTTCCATTTATGGAAACGCCAGTTCCAAAATTAGAAACGCCAATTTTTAAGCAGGCATATTTCTGTATTTCTTAAGTTAATAGTAATCTTTTCAGCTGGCGTGTCTTTTCGTCGACATGTTTTCTCCCAAAACAGTAAAATCCAACAATATTTTCGTGCGCAAATGGCGAATCTGATGCCCTGACGCAAACCCTTGTCAACGTTCCATTTTTGGAAACGGAAGGTTCCAAAAATGGAAACTATGAGCCAACACAGAGCGCTGTTCGGCAGCCGGCTATTTTGTGTGCAGGGTATGACGTATTTCGCGAGCCGACGTCACAGGCGGTGACGTCGGCTCGCGCGCGAGCCGAGGGCCAACGACAAACTAACGGGAACCCTCGGACACCCTCGGGGCATAAACCGCGGAGTAGCATATTGAGCGAGTCTTATAAGGAAAATTCATATATTTTCGTTTCTCAAATGATAATCAGGGTGTCTCTTACCTTTTTACATATCATTTAGGCTTACCTAACTCTTCAGTTGCCAAATATCTGCAATTTATTCAAGCGAAGGTATTTTCAGTAAATATTAATGGTATAGACCGAAATCTTTTGAATAAAAACTCCAATCAACAGAAATAAAAATAACCTAATTTATTCCAACCATTTCCTCCAAATAAACAACATAAAAACTCACTTTTACACACATCATTCATAATAAAGCATACTAACACGCCGCTTTTGACAATTGCGGCGTCGAGTGGCGCGCTGCTAGCGCTCTTTTTCGATCGCAGAGACCCTGCACGCACGCGAGCACACTACGTCACGTCTGGGGGGCACAGGTATATGAAAAATCGCAGTGACGTAACACTTTTCTCGCTTCTCATTGGTCAATAGCCCGTTGCCGGGGTAACGTGCACGTATGTGAGCGCGGGCAAGAGTACTAGCCGGCCGCCGATCAGGGCTCAGGAAAAGGCATAAGCACCATATTATTGATATGTGGGCCTGTCTACCCCACGCCCTCTAAGTAATTTCCGAGCTATTGATGCCGGTACATGTTCTGATATGGGTGATTTCCCTTTGCATCTAAATTTCGTATGAATGGTCCTCCAATTGCTTGGGCATAGTGCCCGAAAGCCGATGTTGGTACAATAATGCTTACGGAAATGTGTCTTCTGGGGAAAGTCCCCAATTTCTAGGCACTTACATAAACCCCAGAACTGTCCAACCGTCTTGCCTACTAAGCTGCTACTGCTTATGAAACCCACATTATAACATATTTTAACTGTTGCAAGCATGCATGCGTGACTGCAGTAAGGCGTAAGCGTCGCGATGTGCCCTGAATTGTGGTTAACAGACTCTGGCTTCCCAAGAAAAGCAAGGCTTTATAAGTAAGGTTGGAGTTAAACTTCGGCCTAATCAGGCCGGTTCAGAAGCTCCGGTTCGCATTTCATGCTGTCGGAGCGTGCACCTTTTCCAACCTTCTCGTGGATTATTAGAAATGAGAAAGGCAGAAAGTGCTTCTAAAAACATTAAATGCAAATAAGAGTTGAAATACTTATAACCTACTGCATCTCTGAGCTGTATGTACAGCTTGAGTTAAAATTCGTCATTTGTTCCAAAAATGGAAACTGTGCTTCATAAAGCATTATTCAATGGGCCTTACACAGGCACTAACTGAAGGCCTACTGAACTAATATGGTGCAAAGTGGGCAATTAGTACAGTTTGAGCATTTCCCTATCCATAGAAATTGTTTATAACACCTTGTCATCGCTTTTTCATATAATTGAATCGTTTAAAACTGGACGACAGCTTGGATCGCTTCCGACAAGCAGTAACATATCAGACCTTTAATGCAATTATTTACATACATTCTACCAACTTTCACACATTCGTAAGTTAAATGGGTGCTAAGAAGTTCAGTTTGCCCACTTAGAAGCATCTGTACGAAATATTTTCCAACTTACCGCCTTCCAAAGCCGCAGGCCCATGTCGTCCCCTATCTCCGCGTGTGTCCACTAACACGAATGACGTCACGCATGTGGGCGGAGCTATGGGCGGAGCCTAACGCACGCGGCAGTCCAAGCCGCCATATTTGAATTTATATTTTAATAGAATGTTGCCGATATTTTGGGTGAAGTCAATTTATATGGATAGCTTGGTGACAGTTTAGCTATACGAATAATAATTTATTATGGATGTGCGTATATTCAGCTTGGAATTGCAGTTAAAGTTCCGCACCGCATAGATTCGAACTCGGGACCTTTGGAATACTGCGCGGGCACGCTAACCACTACACTACCGCGACCGCGCGGCGGCCGGCGGCAGGGAGGCTGCGGAGACATGGGGGGACATTTTACGCTTTTGTGAAAAAAGCAAAAGATTTAGCGAAAAACACGTAATAGATAACTTGCAGAAAATTGTCTGCTCTTTCAGATAAGATACTTAGGTTTGATATATCTTATGCAGACTTCATTCTACAGTGCTTCGAAAATCGCTTATTTACATGGGGATTGAACGGGGCTTAGAGACTTGACTCCAAATGACGTCACGAGCTGACGTCACGAAAAGGTAGAATCGCCGGACGACCCTACCTGGTATATAGGGCCTTGCAAAGCCGGAGAGACGATCTCCGCACGTGGTCACCAACACGCCATTCAGGGCTTGCTTTACAGCAATGTAAAATATTAATGAATACCAGACAGCAAGTCTGTCAATTAAAACATTGCCATTCTTGTGAAAATCAAATTTTTCCACAAAAAAATGAGGTATATTTCATTAATGACACATAAAAGTTCACCTATCATGAAAAATTCTATTGTTTACAAAAGGAAGTGGACCGTGCAAGCCTGTTCAACAGCCGATTTTTCTGTTCAACGTTGGAATTATGAAGCGAAATGCGGTCTTTTGATTGGTGGCCTTTGTTTGATGCGGAAATCTATGGTTTATTGCGGAAACTACCGAACAGGTTTATGTGCTCCTTGCGTTTCCGAAAATAGAAACGGAGCGTTTCCATTATTGGAACAGTTGGTTTTTAGCGTTTCCATTTTTGGAACTTTCTTCCAAAAATAGAAACGTTTCTATAAATGGACTGCCGATACCATAGTGCGCCCGACTGTGAGTGAAGCTCAGCTTCGGAATTGAGCATTATGCATAAGTAGGTACAGCTGGTCAAAAGCAAATGGTTGAATAAGATATGCTCTTGACCAATTATTTCAGGTGGAGATGGTCATGTTGATTGTTGAGGTTTAAGTTGAGATGGTCAAACTAAAAGATTAAATCATTAATTAAGTCAAATGTGGACACAAATGGGTAGGTAGATACCTATTTTGATTTACTTATTTTTATATTGAAATACAAGTGCATTGCACTTGGCAAATAAAAATTGTATGTCAATTACCAATAGGGGAGAGTGGGGCACATTCGTGCAAAAAATGGATAAATCCATATATCTGTTCTTTGGTTAGTGCAACGGCAAAATTGTTGATTGTGGTATGGAAAGGAACTATTGCAGATATTTTTCCTCTTTAAAAGTTATCCTCTAAAATTATTGCTTCTATTAGAAAAAATGACTTTTAATAACTCTGAACGTTTGCACGAAACTGCCCCACCTATGGGGCACATTCGTGCAAGGGGTGGGGCACTTCCGTGCACCCTGCAAAGTTCTAGAAATTACCGGGCATTACCAGAAATTTACCAAAGGAAATTGGCAGGGGGTCAATTCACTTGATTCCTTTCGACAAGAATGCATTGCACAACATATGTAGAAAGAATGGGCTGGCCAACAAGAATGTGTCATCTGCCGGCCTCCGTGACCTCGCCAAGTTCGCGTGAATTACTCGTCACGACGTCGCAAGCAGCCGAGACTGAGTCAGGCGAGCGTCATTGGTGAAACCTACTATAGATAAAGTCATAAATAGCAAAACCTAAAAAAAATATGCACGAATGTGCCCCCAGGCAGTGCGTACACGAACCTGCCCCACAACGTTATTTGTAATATATTTCAAAATTTCTTGTTGAAAAAATGACACTTTGTCAACAAACAAGTTTGCAGCAGTTCCGTGAATAGAGTGAGCACCTTCGCCCCCAATTTTGAAAAGCTGAACCACATTTCCGAGTCAGGATCACGAAAATGGATGATATGAGAAAAGTTTGGAAAGCTCACGAATATTACAAATTTGCGTTTTTATCAAGCATGACAGCAGGTACAGTGTTGTCTTCTACGGTGAACGAAGGGCGGCAATGATAGACACATTTCCATAATTTACCTTGAGCTCGTGCAGTCACTCGTGTTCCCATAAACTGCTGAAAACGAATGTGCCCCATGCACGAATGTGCCCCACTCTCCCCTACCTTCATGCTTTATGGACCTTTAGGCTTTAGGCATGCACTTATTTGTCAAGTAACCTTTGCATGGTCTCTTGATTAATATTTTCTGTGTCATCTTGAGTTGTTGGTGTGCATGATCTTGCTGCTCTTTTTATTTACAGTTGCAATTCACAAAGCCTAGCTTCTGTGAATTGGAATTATCTACAAAATGATGTTAAATTTATCTGTGCAGCCACTGCAGCCCATACAAATAATTGTGTTTGGGGAAAACTTTATATAGCTTTGGGTAAAACATAGGTAACTTAAATCTTAATGTGTGCATATTTTGTCGAAGCTGTTGTGTAATGGCTCTATTGTGTTTGTGGAGTAGAACTGCTGCACTGTCAGGTGTCAATATGATAAGTGATTTCAAAGCCTTTTTGCTATTTCTAGATTTGTTGATACAGGAGTACCTACTACACTAGACCAGGGAGTAGGGACTACCCACTTTCTACCTGAAGACAGTGATTTGAACGACTGACTATATAAAGATACAATTTACAGTTGCATTGAACTATTAAATTTAAAATAAAGTTATGTGAATTCATGGTTTGAAAATAAATTATGAGGATAACAAAAGACTCTAGACAGAATGCATGGGTAAAATTTGAAGGCTCAATTGCCAATTGCTTTGTACTGTCTTTGATCAGCTGCTTAGATGTTGAATGGTAAAAAAGTATAAAAAAGATTATAAGGTTAAGTGTAGGGTGCAGATTGCAGATGCCGTAAGGTGGGGCTATTTGAGACAGTGGGGCTATTTGAGACAGTATTTAAAATTGCTATAACATAAAACCACTTAAGATTCATGCTTAATTTTTTGCTCAGGCGATTTACTGGTCGATTCCACACCTCCCTGTGCAAATATATCACACAAAAATCAAACGATCTTCATTTTATAGCGATTTTAAATACTGTCTCAAATAGCCCCACTGTCTCAAATAGTCCCACTTTACGGTGCTGTTATGTTATGTCGTGCCACTGACAAAAAAAAAACACATGAATCGTGATCCAACGTTTCTGACTGACCTCCCACCTCTCCTCGGCAGAGGTGGTGCCGCTGTGACGCCTGCCGATTCCCGGAGATCCCCCTCACCACGGCGCCATGCTGTTCGGCCGCGAGCGGCTGCTGTCGCCGACACAGCTGCAGAATCTCGACCAGCACAAGTACAGCTGCCAGAGCGACAGTGTGCTCGACCCGTACATGCAGCCGTGGTGGAACTGGCTGGTGGGCCGGTGTCCGCTGTGGCTGGCGCCCAACCTCATCACGCTGGCCGGCCTGGCCGTCAACATCGCCACCACGCTCATCCTTGTCTACTATAACCCGGACGCCAAGGGATCGGTGAGTGACGGAGATCGAGGTACGGAGATCGGTGAGGGAGGGACGGCGGCCCGGAAGAGGGGAGGGAGGGAGGGGTAGGGCGTTCGACGCCCGTTCGCCCGTCACGAAACGCGATGATGGCAACTGTGCGGACGGTGTCGTCGGAGAACGGACAAAGCTGCGGCGATAATTCTGGATCATAACTACCAATCACGGCATAGCTAGTAGTCATTTACCAATGTGTCAGAAGCTGTTATTTATTAGGCAACTTACACCCATAATTTTCATCGAACTGCTGGTGTACCGTTAACCACTTCTATCCTGTTTCTGACGTCCCCCTTCTCTCCGTCCGACAGACCCCGCAGTGGGCCTGTCTGCTGGCCGGACTGGGTCTGTTCATCTACCAGAGTCTGGACGCCATCGATGGCAAACAGGCGCGCCGCACGGGCTCCTCGTCCCCGCTCGGCGAGCTGTTTGACCACGGCTGCGACTCCGTGTCCGTAGGTGAGTCTCCGTAGCCAATCCCACTCCGTAGTCCATCTCCTTCAAAAGTCTCATTGGGGTAGTCAAAGAAACCTGTTGAAAGCGAGGCGCAACACCGCGTCGCGGGGCAATAAGCTCCATGGAAGCCACACGATAACTATGTGCTAAGCGTTTGTCAAAGGCTGTTTATCAAAGGTCACACCGTTTGACTAATTGGCCGGCGTGTGTGGTTACGCGAGCAGTGAAGCTCCAATCCCGTTTTATATGCGCTGCTGCGCTTGTACGGCTGCCTGTCGATGATGAAGTGGTCTTTGTGGGAAGTGTCGGACGGACTGTAGTGTGAGCTGAGCACGGTACGGCGCACAGAGCCCGCCGTCACGGAGTATTTATTGATCGTCACAATGTCCCTGGCTCGCTGCAGCCCGCAGAAACGTGTCGGGTTTGTGCCACCTTTCAGGGACAAAGGCTAGCGATGCTTTATGCAAGCTTGGGGTGATAGCGAAATGTTAAGTTGTTGAGCTTATAGTTGAATTAGTAGTTGCAAGCTGTCGGAGCCCGTCTCGGCAACACATCGTGTATTTAGTTGACGCCAAAAGCCATACAAAATAGCATCCAGGCTGCAGTGGTTGCTATCGCTCATAGGTGTTTGTCCCACTTCTGTATTTCTCGCTCTTCTGTAGTATCTTTCGTGTGCCGGTTTTAACCCCGTGTTTGTTCCGTTCCAGTGTTTGTGGTGGTGGGCGTTGCCACCATGACCAGTATGGGAGAGTCGCCGATGATGATGTTCGTCGTCTGCTTTACCGCCATCGCGCTATTCTACATCGCCCACTGGCAGACTTTCGTCTCAGGTGAGCTGTCTTTTATATCGCCCACTGGCAGACGTTCGTCTCAGGTGAGCGGTCTTCTATATCTACATCGCCCACTGGCAGAGTTTTGTGTCAGGTGATTGGTCCGGCCGGCCAGATCCGCATCCCCTGCCCCCCCCCCCCCCCCCCTCCACCGCTACCGCCGCCGGTACTTCTATAACCACCTCCAGCCCGCATCCCAATATTGGAGTGGTTAGATCTGGGTCGATATGATAACCGTGTGTTATTGCTCAGTCCCAGCGGCGTGATTCCATGCGGTAGTCTCATTCATTTCCTGTGTGTGTTGCCAGGTACGCTGAAGTTTGGCAAAATTGACGTGACGGAGGAGCAGTTTTGCGTCATCTCCCTGTACGTGATCGGCGCTATCTTCGGCTCCGACATCTGGAATATGGAGGTCAGGTCACTGTGGACGGGTCGGGTCAGGTCGCTGGACGGGTCTGGTCAGGACACTGGACGGGTCGGGTCGGGTCAGGTCACTGTGGACGGGTCGCCGGTCGGGTCACTGTGGACGGGTCGGGCTGAGTCAGTATGGACGGGTCGAGTAGGATCGATGTAGATGGACGGGTCGGGTCAGGTCAGTGCGGACGGTTTACCTATATCATTGGGACGGGTGGGGTCACTGTGGACGGGTGTGCTTCCTGTGGAACCCTCGGGTCAGGTCATTGTGGATGGGTTGGATACCTGTATACTGTATAGGGGTCTGGTCAGGTCACTGGATGGGTCTGGTCACGAGTGGGGAGGGTCGAGTCACAAATGGGGCCGGTCTGGCTTAGTCACTCTTATCATTACTTGTTCGTCGGCTAGCGGGTCGGGTCATTGTAGCATTGATCGCAACAGGCTAGTTCACGGGTGGTTGGTTAGATCACCATGGGGCGGCTTATGTCCCTGGAATTTGTCAGGTCACGAGGTCGTTTTAGGTCGTTCGATGTGTGTGGTCTTGGATCACGAATTCGGCCGCGTTGTCACTTGGGGCGGACCCCGTGACCACGTGCAGTTTAGCTCAAGTGACGCTGTCGCCAGGTCACAGGGGGCCATTTTTGTTCACTCGTGCTCAGTGGCTGTGGTGTTGCACCCCTATATTACCCCGTCCCACAGTGCCGTGAGTTACGACCTTACTGTTTACCGTGGCACATACTTCAGCCATTTGTCACCACCATGTTTCATTCAAGTGCCCGTGTCGCCAGCGAAACGGAAATATTTATTAAGTTCGTTCACTTTGAAGATTCTACTACAAGGTTACTTTTTCTACACTATGCGGAGCAATTGGTATGACGAAGCTGAAATATGGTGTCTAGTATTTTTTTCCCCTCTGTGAAGTGGGTTGTGTTGGTGCGTTTGTGTTTAGAACTGGTGAGTGGCGGTGCCGGTTTTCAACCGCACACAAGTTTCGATGAAGACGTGCTGTCTCAATATCAGACATGGATAAGATAATTCCACTTGTGGCCCCGATCATTTGTACCATCAGCTCTTCACTACACATACATAGGTGTATTTATTGTGAGCAGTCGCTGGTAAAAAACTGTCCAGTCTTCAATTCAGAATAGTATGGGTGCAATGTTTTACGGCAATGTACTTATTTTGCGTCGCTCATCGTTTTGGCTTATTTGGTTTTCTCGATCAGCGTTGCCGCCAGCGCTGTGATCCCCTTACGTAACGTGCAACACGGAGCGTGCCCCGCCAGTAGCGCCGGTCGCCCTCGACCCTGCCTGTCGGTCCAATCAGTGTGAAGTGGCCGTCCGTCGCCGCGCCAGTGCTGTCATAATCAGCGCGCCGCGTCGTGGAGAGTCCCGGCCGCTGCAGCCGCCGGGTGCACCGCTGAGTGCCGGACTCGGTCGGCTGCCCTCTGAACCGCCGTCCCGTCCCCCCGGCCGGCGAACTGTGTCGCTGGCTGGGGGTGACCGAGACCGTGACACCCCAAGGCCGGGGTGCGCCGGCTGATCGCCCCGGGGATGTGGGGTGGTACTGTCGCCGATAGCGTCATTCTGGCAGGGATGGATGGTATTGGACGATAGATGGGCCGTGTTTTTAGATGTCTGGGCGGTCAGTGACCGCTCTGTCGGATACTGATTCTGTAGTCTATTTTTGCGGATTTTATCTTGGTGGGTGGTGCTGCTCCTAGACAATGATATTTTGTATTGTTGTGGATGGGTGATTTGATGAAATTGCAGACATTTCCGAAATCGACAGATAGCCGACCGAACATCATCCTGTATGCTGCTGAAGCTGCTCACCTTGCTTTTAGTTTCGTTTGTCTTGTAGACGTTTTGACATTTTTTAATACTCGTTGATAATCTCTAGGTGCCTAAGCTCGATTGGTGCTTTTGTAGCGTCCTGTTTTTGTTTTGCCTTCATCTTTGATTGTTTGCAGTTGGTTTTTAACATAGTAATCTGTATTTAAGCTCCCGCAAAGCCTCATGTATATACCCTCACCTTCCGATACACCTGGCTCTCCGTCCCAACGCACGCCGGCCCCCAAAGCTAACGTCAGCGGCCCTGCAGATCAGCAACACGGGCTACAAGCTGAAGGTGATGCTGGTGGTGATGGGCGTGGGCGTCACCGTCATCCACCTGGTGGGCAGCTTCGGCATCATCCTGACGGGCGGCGTCGGCAAGAACGGATCCAGTGTGGCTGTAAGCGGACGGCGGTGGTTGACGGCGAGGTCCTAGCATCCTGTCTGGGCTGTGGGTCGTTGTGACTGTCGGGGTGCTGAGGGTTCGGTGTGTTTGAGTTTGAGTGTGTGTTTGTGTTTGATGAGTATGTGGGTGACAGGGCAGATTGCTGTGGTTCAGACTAGGTCATCGATGTAGTGGGGAATGGGTGTTGGGTGTCTGTTGTTGGTAGGTAAGTTGGATGTGTTGCTGTTTTCGACGTGTCTGTTAGGTGTTTCGATAGTCTTCCCTAGACCCTAATCACTGTGTAGTAAGCTCTGGGTGTGATAGTTCACCGTGTTCCTAGAGTGTTACCCGCCGTTCACTGGCTGTCTCGTCGTCTTACGTACACTCGTGTGTCCAGTAGATGCTGCTGGTGCTGTCTCGAGCTGAACTAAAGCGTTACATTTGTAGGGTTGTGTTAATTTTGGAGATTGTCGTCCTGGAACTTGGAATGACTCTGGATATTGGGATTCGGACTGCATGGTACCTGTCTTACGTCTTACGTCCGGAGACCGGACAGGTAATGCATCTGGGTCTGTCTGGGGTGAGAACTGGGTAACGCGGTACTGCATGTCGTCTGGAACGAAACACCTCGAATGGTGACTGGTGGTGATTGGACTCGTCCCAAGAGCGCAAAATCTAATAAATGCCGCCGTCCCCAGGGACTGAAGTAATTTCAAGTCAGGAAGTTTCTCACTGGAATTGGATGATTGAATTGAGTGGTTGTGATTTTATCAGTTATGGTGGTAAGGTGTAGCGTTTTCTCAAAACCAGCTGCATCTCTGCGACGGTGTTATCTTCAACCAAGATTCTACGCTCCCGGACTGGAATCGGCTGGACATCACTTCTATGAGCGTGGCTCGATGCACTGTGGGGGCCGCGTGACTGTCTGATAGCGTGAGGGAGAGGAATATCTTCCCCCGGGGACATCGACCCGCTTATAGATAGAGCCGTACCAGCGGTGATAGTCCTGTGGAGTCTGGCGGGGAGCCGCGGCGGGCTGCATTGAGCACCTCGTCTGCCGACCGCCAGAGAGGAAGTCAATAGGTAGCGACCGGGACGGTGGATGGTTATTGATTGTCATCAGGCTGTCACAGGATCGGCGATATTTATGGATCACCTGGGCGCATGAGAATGGAAGTGTACCACTTGTAATCTTTGAAGGGCAGCTGCCAAACTGAAGTAGTCTGCCACTAAAATGGACTGCCGCACGACGAATAAATATTTCGTGCTGGGTCGCACTGAAGTTCTGTTATCACCTTTGACAAGCCCTATCATCGACTTGATCTTCTATTTCCAGCGTGGAAAGCGCCTTTAGTTTGTCGACACGGGGCGACAGAGGCGGACACTGACCTTTCCGAACCGACTGGTGTTTGGTGGCGTGGACAGCGAGTTCTCGGGCCGGACTTTGGTCCTGGATCGGCCGTTGGCTGAATTCCGCGAGTCCGCGCTGGGGACTGTCAGCAGGGTCCAATTGAGGGTATCGAAGGAATGACGTTTATCGCATCGGCACGCCAGGCGTCAGATGATAGAATTTACAATAGTATGTCTTCTCTGCCGTGAGCATTGTGGGGTCCTGACGACGCTGTTGACTTCTACCTTCACAGGAAATAACCGGTACCGTTTTAAGCCATTGCATGGTCCGGTGAGCAGCGGTCAGCTGGGTAGCGAACAGCCATCCTATCACATTGCAATATTCCGCATGCCCACGTCACAATATCCACAGAAGGGCTCATTTGTTCAGTTCCTGCCACACCTATCCCTCCGACCGCCTCCCCTGCGGCTGCCAGGCAGAGGGAGGGTTCAGGGTACACCGGTCCCGCTCGGGACGCGCCCCTGCTGACTGCGCCGGCTGCCGGTCCTCAGATCCGACTGTACGGGGGTCTGACGGTGCCGCTCAAGATGGTCCCCTTCTCGGCGACGGTGGGCGCCGCCGCGCTGCACGTGCACCAGTACTTCGGGCGCATCATGCGCGGCGGTATCGGCAAAAACGGCTCCACGGTGGCCGTGAGTGACGCGGCAGGAGATTTAGTGACGTCACTGGTTCATAACGACAGCTGACACAGCGCTACACTATCTGCACTTTCTGCCAGCCACCGTGTCGCTGCCATGTAACGTCCGCCAGTCTCCAACCTGCAGCTGTCCTCTGTCCTGTGCACTAAATATGAAACACCTCCCGGTCAGAGCTTTGACACAGTCGGTTGACCATTAACATTTCTGGTTACACCGATTACTTAGTTTTCTCATCCTCGATCAGTCCTTTGTAACTTTTTTAGGTACAAAAACATCCGTCTTCCAGTTTTTTTTTCTCGTTCATTTGCTCTCAATGAAGCCATTACCCTGGCCCAGCTTTCATCCAGTGAATTGCAACCAATTGCAACCATGCAGTTGATATTTCCACTTTCAATAAGCAACTTTTGTGTCACGAATGTCTACTAGCCTGTGGTTTGTTCCCTCTGTCGATTCCCTTCTCTCCGTCCGCCCCGATGCTCTGATCTCATCCAGATCCCACTCCCCCCCCCCCGCCCCCCACCAGCTGATCACCCACCACGCGGCGCCTGTTTACACTGTGGACCACGTGACCGGTGACGTCACACAGTGGTGTGACGCCCCCTTCTGTTTATTGGCGGCGTGACGCGCCTGTTTTTGTGACTAGCTGCTAGAGCGGCCCGGAAGGACGCGAACTCGCTTTTTCTGCCTCGCAGACGCCTGAAGATTGATTTGATTTTGTGGTGATTTGGTCTTCTAAGTTTGGTCCGTCTGATCTTTTTCTTGCACTATCGCACGAGCATGGATGCACACTGCACAGTCTTTGTCACAGCTTGCTACACACTGCCATTACTTCTTCACATAGTTTCTGTTATGTTCTCTTCTGTTTCTCTTTCTTTTTGGACACCACAGCTGTCGTGGATACCCCCCTCCCGCGAGTCTCGCGTTTTGGATACAGCCCGGCTGGTATGCCACCCTCTGACACTGGCTGTGAAGGCACGGGGAGGGCACGCGCCTCGAACACGCTGAGGGTGGGACGGGACGGGACGGCCTCGTACGCCGTGACCCCGCTATTGACCTTTGTTTCGGGCCACTGGTGGTGGACCCACTGAAGTGTGGATGTGTGTCGTATCTGTCAAGTGAGACTCGGCCGGGCCACTTGGGCGGACCGATAGCAGCCCGCCCCGCCCCCAGTGGCCGGGCGGGGTGCGCTGGACTGTTGGTAGGGGTGAGAGACCTGTTGACAGGGGAATGATGAGCACATGGGTCGCCCTTCAGGTCTGCGGCTGTGGCGGATTTTACGTTTGGGTAAAAACTGGTGCAGTGATTCAATTATGGCATGCAACATCAGTTCTGTTTCTTTTCTTGTGAGAAGTACCGTCACCGTAAAATTATCGGTAGGTACACATTCATCGTTTTTTTATGCTATAATGTTGAACAATTGTTTATCGCAAAGTCTAAAGCCCGGCATCGCAATTTGTTCGGTGACATTTTAAGCTTCACTGATCTCGATAAGTTAAGTTCAGTCAGCCGCAACCGCACCCGCCCATCATTTACTCTACACCATAAATCTAGTCACCGTGCTTTATCAACAATAGCGAAACGGGTCCACTGCGTAGCCGCGGTGCACGGACCATAATATACGCAGCTGGGAGTTGGGGCGCTGTTAAATGTGGCCACTTTACCGCATCTCCTCGCTCGTCTGGCCGCGTGCTGGCTAGAGCCACTCTGGCCACGTCATGTCACGCGCCCATTTGCTCCCTTCCGGCTGTCATGTGTCGGTGAGCCACCATCGGACCCCATGACGTCCTGGCCGCCCCGTAACGCCGCACTCCGCCTCACGAGAGCGCCCACCTTGAGCGCACTGCATGGGGAGGAGGGAAGGGGTAGAGTGGTGAAGGTGGCACGACACTGCGCTCTGCAGATAGTGTTTATAACTGCTTTTGCACACTGACGTTTGATGATCGGTGGTTTTTGTTACGCTGTGCTCTTTGTTGTTTGGTGTGCGTGCGTAATAGCTGTGCTTGTGTTTTGTCGTCTTCTGTTGTCCTTTTGTAGTGCAAGCTAAGTAGCTTTTAGATGTGTTGATCAAAGCTGTTATTATTTGCAGCTGGAGCTATTGCTGTAGGCTGGAATGTGTAGTAGAAGTCTAAGATTTGCTTGATTGTTGTTAGTATATATTTCGGTTAGAATTTTTACCTAAACGATGAGGGTTGCCGTTTGCTTAACGTCATCCTGACTTTAATCACGTATTGCGCGTGTTTTTATCCATTAAATGATCTAAATACATTTCTTTAAAGGATTACAGTTAACGTATGTCAGTAACCAGCAACTGCTCGCGGGTCAGCCCTCCCCTCTCCGTGTCTAACCCCTCCCCTCGGCGGCCGCCAGGGCACGTCGGTGCTGTCTCCCAGCATCCCGTTGGCGTTGGTCGTCGTGCCGGCGTTCGTCATCTATAGGAAGTCGCTGCAACACGTCTACGAGACGCACCCGGTGCTGTACGTCATAGCGTTCGCCACCGTGGCCTCCAAGGTCACCTGTAAACTCGTGGTGAGTTGTTGGGGTTTGATGTTCAGATTCAGAGCTGCGGCATTGAAAACAGTTCCTTTGTTTGCTCGCCAACCTAGCTGTAAATCGTATTCTTTTCAAATATGATAGCAGGCTATAACTTACTAGGCAAACTGCTAATTGCATTATAGCCGACAAAGGATGTTCTTTTGTTTTCGCCGGTCTGTGTAATTACGATATCCGGTTTGCACTGTGACGGGTGCCGTCCATTGACCATCCAAGCACAGGTTCCGACCCTGACTTGTGACGTTGACCCACCGCGTCCCGTCTCCCCACAGTTGGCACACATGACGCGGTCGGAGCTCGAGTACTCGGACTCGTCCATGATCGGGCCGGCGATGCTGTTCCTGAACCAGTACTTCAACACCTACTTCCAGGAGTACTACGTGCTCTGGGTCTGCTTGGTAAGTCACCCACCACCTCACTGACACCTTGTCACATTGCTAGACGTATCGGTAACAACGGCCATTTCGAATCCGAATGCGGAGATCGGTTACAAATATAGCTGATAATTATTTCTTCCCTCGAAAGGGATACTGCTTGCTATTGCCATTGTTTGTTTCAAATATAACGTGTTTGTCAGCGGATTGAACGTATCCTGATGCAGTGGTGATGTTAGTCGAAATACTACACTGCGCCTAAATGCAATGGTTATGTTACCGCGAATTTTACGCTGTTTCCGGATGACACCTGCAGGTTGTCTCGTGTAACCAAGTCGTCATACCGTAGCAGCCCGCTCAGACACTGATCCCGTCTCTCTCCTTTGCTCGCAGATCTGGGGTCTGGTGGACTTCCTCGACTACTGGCGCAAGATCTGCACAGAGATCTGCGACCACATGGGCATCTACTGCTTCCGCATCAAGCAGCAGTCTGCGGCGGCGGCGGCGGCGCCAGCGGCCGGCCCAGGTGCGTCCCCGGCCGGGCCCGGGCGGGTCACAGCACGCGCCCAGCTCCGCACTAAGGCCAGCTAGCTGGCGCCCCGCTGTCGCCGCCGCCGCCGCTACCGGTCGGCCGGCGCCGCTGTGAGGGCCACGCACACTCCCCGCCGCCACAGGGGCCCCGGGACCCTCCCCGACTCCCCGAGCCCTCCCGGCGGCAGTGGGGAGCGTCCCACGCACCGTGACCGACAGCGGCCGGCCGCCGGCGCGCCGCCGACCGTGTGGAGGCCGGCGCGCGGCCCACTCGACGTGTATCGCTTTTGTTACGGTGTTCTGTCTCCGTACATGTGTATGGGTCCCTGATGTGTATCCGTGAGGAGCCAAACTTCTCTGTGGTTCTACTTGTAGCGTCGTGACGCGGTAGCATCAATAGTCGTGCGTTAGTGTTCGACAGGTGGCGTCTTATGTCCGACCCGGCTGCCACCTTCTGTGATGGGGCAGCGGGTGAGCGCACAACTGTCCGCCCTGTTCCTCCCTGTGCCCCTGTCGTGTCTTGATTCCTGCCGGCCCTGCCGTGATGTCCCTGTCCTGACCTCAGTCGGCCCGGACTGCTCCCGTGTCGCCCCGGAGCCGGGCTCCAAAGACACACTGACCGTGTCAGTAGCACAAGCTGCGCGCGGTTACAGGACTGTGGTGTTGTGAAAAACGCTGGCGTTCCGGAACAAGTTCTCGGGCTGTTCGAGAGGGCGTCAGGCTCTTTCCGCGATGGATGTTATTTTCGAGGGAGTCGCACTATCCCATCCAACAAAACCTGGGGCTCCCAACTCGTGCGGAGAGGGGAGTAAATGTTTACGAGTCTAGTTTAGTTCAGAGAAGCTTGACGCGTTCGGTGATAATATGACGTTCATTTCTAATGACAACGGAGGTATGACTGCGTCTGGGAATATTATTATAATTATTATTATCGCCGACTGAGGAGCGGCTAGCTAGTCGAGGGCCGGTAACTGTGAACTGTCTCTCCGGGTCGCCCTCCCGCTCAGTGCCCCGGCGGGCGGCGGGTGTGATCCAGCTGGTAACGCCGGTATTTACCGGCCCGTCGTGGACGGATGGAGAGTGTCTGTGTGTCTGTGGGCGCGCGCTGTCCGCCTCTCGCGCACCAATACACGACGGACTGTCCGAGATCGAGCGTGTGGCGGAGGAGGGATGCGCGATCCGCGGGACGACCGCACTGACCTGGCACACAGCCTAGTAAGTACCGCGCCTCGGGTGCCCCGCCTGTCAGTCCCTGGGGTGCCCGCCTGTCGGTCCCTGGGGTGCCCGCCTGTCGGTCCCTGGGGTGCCCGCCTGCCTGGTCCGGGGTGCCCCGCCTGTCAGTCCCCGAGGTTTTCCGCCTTTCGCATGTCCCTCCCTCCCTTGCCGGTCGAGTTGCGAGCGCGGTTGTGTGCGTGCTTTTATTTGGGTATTCAGTTGGATGTGTTCTTTACGTTTTACATTGCTGTTGCTGACCGTGCTTAGGTTAAAAGAGGTGTTTCAGCGTGGCTTACTCGAAACTTTGTTGAAAGTAGTAAGTTGGCGTGTCGACGTCTGCCGTTTGATTGTTACTGTAATTCTGACTGTTCCCTCGCGGGCAATTTGGGCAATGCTTGCTACTTGGGTTTTATCCTACACGAGAGCATGCCATGTGATTTTCGCTACCGTAAGGGCTGATATCCCCGTGCTACGTGCGTAGAGAACATATTTCTGGTGCCTTTGTCAATGTCATATGGTTTTCTTCCATATCTAAAGGCCTGCAACCGTCTCATTCCTGCTCGAGAACCAAACTTACTGGCTGTCGCTTTGAAATCATGACCATGTAAGCAGATCGAACATTTCATCTGTCACTTGCCAATGTCACTTGCCTGTGCCACCTCTCAGCCTTATATCGCTTTGGACCCGCCCTCGGCGTTTTCTGACCCCGTCCTCACCGACAGGTCGCTGGGACTCGGCCGCCAAGGTGCCTCTGCTGCGGTCCAGCCGCTCGCCCAGCCGCGACTCCACAGAGTCCCTCCGTGAGGTCGCCTGCGACGCCCCGCCCCGCAAGGACACGTGACCTGACCCGTGGGGACCGCACCGGAGCACGTGACGGGTCGCCCTGGCTGTGCGAGAGAACGTCTATCCTCTCGGTGAGTTTGGAGAAATCGATCTGGAGCAAGATCGCTGATCGCAAGATTTCGTCGGAGATTCTGCGTGAAACACGAAATGGCGTGACCATTCGTATGGGTAGTTGTGAAGCAGCTCGAAATGCTATTGGTGTTGTAACGTTTTTCACTTGATGTTCCATAACCCATTGTCGCCGGGTCTCTATTTTCGATAAGGAGATTTCCCAGAAGATTATGAATCTCACTCTCCCCGTAGGTGGTTATTCGGCACCTCATGCCTCCATTGTCTTGTATATTGTCACAAGCCGCACCAAGAGCCGCTGCGCGAATAAGATGTAAGCAATATGCGTTTTAGACCTATGCAGAGATAAGTTTCTATGAACAAGCTCCATTTCGAAGCAGGCTTCAAGGCAATGCGCTGCACCATTTCGCGATGCTAGTTAGTAACCAATTGCAATGTCCGTGATTGTGGAGTTGTTCTTTTATATTGTTTGTTATAGCTAGTTCGATCGATGTTCTCACCATGGCACGCTGCTGGGACGGTGAAGGGGTCTGGCACCCAACATTTGCTTGCTCGCAGTACTTCAGTTTTTTTATGCTCATTTTTGCATTGTATGTTAAATTTCAACAGAACGGCAAAAACTTTGCCTTGTGACCCTTAAAGCCATTGAATGGTCTTTCTGTCGCTTGTCAGCTCTGTTCCTAGTGCCCCACGTAATCGTTTACACCTCATTAACCCTCGCCCTGGCAGGGGGGGGTCGATGCGACCCCCCCCTAAGGTTTTTCGAAGATAGCGTAAAAACGGCGGCGCGCAGCGCCGCCAAATTTGGCACAGCCTATGGGGCAACCTTTTTACATATGACCTGAAAATTTCAGGTCCGGGTGACCTTGGGTCAGGTCACCAGGTCAGAAAAACCGGTACAAGGTCATGGTCAAATTTCAACTTTCTTTTTGCACCTGTGCAACTCACAGTTTTCGACTGATTTCCTTCAAACTTTCAGGATGTGCGAAGTTCACCGAGTTGTATAACATATAGTTCGGGTTTTTTGAGGTCACTGACCTGAGGTCAGTTAGAGGTCATTGCGTCGTAATGTTAAGCCTATGGGAAAATACTAAATTCGGAAAATACTGGAGATATCCGCTTCGTTCTTTCACTTTTGTGCTTTGAAACCACAGTACTTAACAGCAGGTCACTTGGTGCTTCTTTGTTTGGTGTACTTATCCATGAGTCAGGTCAAATGAGGTCAACTGAGGTCAAATCACATTTTTTCCAATAACTTGGCACATAATGACGCTAGAGCTTAAAAATGGTGTCATTGTGTTCCTGGTGATCAGCCGAATCGAATGATATGCGATATGATGCAATTTGGTTAATTTGAACTTAATTAGTTAATTAAAGTTTACTTAAAAATTAAGAAAAACTTTAAGTACACTTAAGCAAGCTAAAAAGTATATCATTCGACGCGCCTTGACGTGCTGAGTTCACTGGTGCTTTTCTTTTTGCTCTATCTTAATTAGATCAAAAGTTATAAGCGAAAAACTTTTGGCCTGTTTTTAGCGAAATTTTTACATTTATACCCCCCAAACCCCCCTAAATATTGACCTAGAACAACCAAATTTGCACAGGGGCGAGAACTCCATGGGGCCCACCTACCTACCAAATTTGGTGTTTCTAGGTGCCATAGGAGCCAATCGCGAGGGGGGGGGGTCGCATCGACCCCCCCCCCCCCTGCCAGGCCGTGTTATGAAAAAGGCCCTGCCAGGGCGAGGGTTAAGTAGTGCTTGCTATTATAGGATAGCTCAAGGTATTCATTATTTGTATGCATTCAGAATATAGTTAGAGAATCGCTTGCTAGTAGGTAGGTCAGTAACGTTTTGTTCAGTACAATATGCACATCCCAACAACGAATCCTTAATATAGAAGGGAGCCAGTAGAGCGTAGTATGCAGCTTACAGTTTCGGTGGCGCGGTAGCTTCCTCGAGCTTCACATTCTCATCTGTCCGCGGGCGGAATTGAACCTTCCGAGTGGCCACTCTTGTTTTATGGTGGCTATTCTTCCATATCAGCTTTAATGTGTTGCAAGTTGCTCTTCGCCGCGTGAGGTAACGGCGTCGTGAAAAGGTTGTCCGCTGTAACCGTTTGTCGCGAAGTTATTGTGTTCTCCAGGGTGACTGTGCCTTCTCAGTTTTTGCTTTTCTGAACAAATACACGTATTACTTTTTACGTTACGTGTTCGAAATGTGGTACGATTTTAGGATGGGGGTATATTATGTTGGGAGGCATGAAGGCATTTGACCTCGTCTAGAAAGAGATGTGCAGGTTGTTACCGTATCAGCTTTCTAGTTTTATAATACTGCTGCTGATATACCAAACAGAGGGAACGAAGACAATTGACAAATGCCAGTTGACTTCGGGTTTCAGCAAAACTGGCAACGCGGTCGATTGTAATTCCAGCATTTAATGAGATCCCTTGATCATTGATGGTATGCATGCGCCAGTTGCCTGATGTGTTTCATAACAGACCCTCCACCCCCTTCTCTTGCACGTTCGTCTGTCGTCTGTTCGCCGCCAACAGCCTGCGTCACACATCAGTCACCTCGGCACTACACTGTATTTTCGACCGCCGCCAGACTACACACGCCTTAAGTATCAACAGCAACAACAGCTCGGCACAAGCTAGCCTACCGAGCGGCTGGGCCCGGCGCCCCCACCCCACACAGTGATATATCGGAAACGAAGGCACCGTGGCCGGCGACTGGCCGGCGGGACCCAGCGCCTCTAGCGGGGACTCGGGTCACTACTCTCCGGGAGCCTATACTCCCCGGTACGTCTGGCTACCAGGGACCGACGCCGGCTTGGAAGCGGGGCTAACACCCATCTCTCTCGGGGCAGAACATTTCTCAGACAGTCTTAGCGCGGCGAGACTGGCGCAGCGCCGGGGGCGGTAGACGATAGCGACGCGGTGACTACCAGGGCCGCTGCGGCGACCACGAGTTCAACTGGGGAGGTTTGGTGTCGGGTGTGATTTTGAAGTCAAGCCTCGTGAGTCAAAGCGTCGGTGGGACGTTCAAGCTAGCTGCGTGCTGCGCGGGATCCGGTGCTGTCAGCTTCTGTCGCGCTCCCATGTTCTGTGGCTGGATGTGCGGGGTATGTCGGTGAGTCAGGGTTAGTTCGGCGATTGGGGTCGGTTTGGAATGGCTCGATGGTTCATCTGATCCGGTGTGGATTCAGTAGCCCATCTGCTTCGGCGAAAACGACCAGCGATTCTGTACTCAATTGGTCCACGCACGCTACTGCAGCTCAGTTCGTCCTGTCTCAGATGGCGCCACTGCAGATCCCGGCTCTCGTACAGCGCCACTGCAGGTCCCAGCGCCAGTACCAACCACTAGGGCCGGTCGGGACGCCAGGCCGAGGTTACGACTGAGGTTAGGACGTGGAGCTGAGCCGCTGCGGCAGCTGCTGCTGCTTCTTGTGCTCGGAGCCAGCGGCGATGTAGGAGAACACGCAGAGCACCGAGTAGCAGATCTGGTCCGCCTGCGACAGAGAGGAAGGGCCGCGGTCAGAGTGTGGGAGTCCAGCGGGAATCAGCTGTGGCAGGGGAGGGGCAGAGACGCGTCTGGGAGCGAGGGCATATGCTGGCCGCTGGGGTTTTACGGTACTCACGAGACTTCATGAAGACGGTGTTAGTGAAAAATGTTGACATGTGACCTCGATGAGGGGTGGAATTGTCAAGTTCCATCTAAAAATTCAGTAGAGTTCTAAATGATTCGATCGGTTTTAGGTGCTAGGTAAGGGTCTTGTTATCAGCGGGCAGGTCATGTCGGGCCATGGGAGCACAAAGTTCACAGACACTGGGTCAAACGCAAACATTGGGGCACAGCGTGTTCACGGCAGTGTCAGCTATCGTACCAGCGGAGTTGCCAGCACCAGCAGAGCACCGCAGCACCAGTCACCCAGCACCAGCAACATTGTTAAAGTAAGCAAACCAGCCACCGTACCGCTAGCCATCGGCTCCAGCACGCAACCCCACCAAAACAGCAGCCAAAACAAAAATATTCCAGAGATTAGCGTACTCAAACACCCAACAACACATCACCTCGGAACGAATAGCATCCCAGTCAGCATGTTGGAAAGGCCACCAACGCGGTGGATTGCAAGGCAGGTCTGCGTGAAGCTTTCCGAAGTTTCGCTTATCAACTTGCGATAGGTAGAAGCCAAAGCACCGACATTCAAGAACCGAGAGTCGATATTTTGAAACTATTCCGCGTTCCAGTCCCGACCTCCGACTCCTTAGTTTGATGGTCAGCCGGCCGCGCGAAGTCTCGCTTGATCTCAAGACTTCTATACCAAAGGCACGCCAGCAGTCAGCCGTTTTGCGTGAGCCAACACCTCAAGAGTCAGGAAAAACGTGTAACACCCAGCTTGAACGTCAACAGAGCCAGCCAAAGATGCACCACTCCGTCTATGTCGCGCGGCGAAAGACCCTCGCCAGAAAAGGAGAAAGAGCATGACAAAAGCGCGTGCCCAGAGTGGAGCGAGAGAGGAGCCGCGGCTCCGGCGGCTGCGTACGTTACTCTCGCTGCGGACCGGGCTGCGGGCGGTGCTCGGTGGAGCCCTCTGCAGTTCAGGAGACGGGCCGGCGCGGCGGGCGGAGCGGCGCCGGTCCGCCGCCCACCAGGTGGCTGGGGGGTCGAGGTGAGGGCGATGCGAGCGGCGAGCTGGGTGCCGAGCGGCCGGCCCGACCGCCGCACACTGGTCGGAAACGCTCCAGCGAGAGGCCAGCGGCCTTTCCGCAAAAGTTTTTTGCTTGTTATTCCACAACTAGTGAAGCAAACTTCATAAAACTTTGCATACCTTCTCTGTCATATGTAAGCTATCATTTGGATGTCAAGCACTAAATATATGACGTGAATCTGTTAAGTTATGACGTCATAATTGAGTATAATACAGGATCTAGCACTACTTTAAGTCAACAAGGGAAATTGGGAGCTGCTATTCGGGCACCGGGAATGGTTTCATGCACTCCTTGCAAGGTCCAGTGCTTGACTTTAGCATTGTTGACTTTGCGTGACGTCATTTATGACGTCACTAAGGCCATGTAAGTTTTTCGTCAACAACTCCTGATCAGATGGAGCTAGAGAGTCGGGAAAGCCACCATTGGACTCAGGAAGACCTGCCAAATCGAATGATATGCGATATGACCTCCTTCAACCATTTTCGTGACCTGAGGGGCTCCGACCTGACCTTGACCCGAGGTTAACACCTTAACCCTCGCCGGCACAGGGGGGTTGATCATGCAACCCCCCCTAAGGTTTTTCGCGAATAACTCGCGTAAAAAGCGGCCGATCGCGACGAAACTTTCAGTACCCTCGCATTGATCAATTTTACACCTACCCTGAAAATTTCATGACCCTGACCCCAATGACCTTTGACCTGTGACCTCTTTTCCGTGACCATGTTTGGCCGAAATCGCGATTCGGCGTATTTTGGCTCGCATTAGCCGCGCGTTTGCAAGCTTTTCGTGGTTTCAAACGTTCAAACATGTGATTTGATGTTGCTCCCATACATTAGGATGGGTGTCAAGGTCACCTGAAGGTCAGGTCAGGTCATTCACCTTTGGTGACCTCGGGTGACCTCGGTTCACTTTTTCGAGTTTTACATGTTTCTAGGCTAGTTTTTGGAGCTGAATTCTAATTTAGCAACCATTTAAACATTGACGAAGCAGTTTTGGCGCCTTCGTAACATGTTACGAAGCTGTCAGAGGCGGTTGACACGTTTTAGGAATACCCGTCACAACCCCTACCGGTTGACCGGACCTGACCTGACCCGACCTGGTCTAAATGCTTAAAGACATCATCTCTGATCAAAACTAATACGATATTCGTGATCAGCATCCCGGAAAACCACATAGCAGCCACAATTTACGACTTTCTAACAGGTTCCGATTTTCCCGGTTTTCGGGTCATTGACCTGACCTGGAAGGTCACCCGATGACCTAGGACCTTAAAATTGGGTATCATCGGCTTCCTCTCGTGACGGGCAGCAACACGCTCGTTTTTTCCGCGAGGCTCTAGCTCGATCAGGGGCCAAACGCGAGGGGGGTCGTACCAACCCCCCCCCCCCCTTATGCCGTCGAAGGACGCAAAATGGCCTGTGCCGGCGAGGGTTAAGTTGACTTCACCCGAACACCAAGTATAGCATTCAACGCGCCTGAGCTAGACATACACGATTATGCCAAAATCGCGGCAGTGCGACCATTTTTGGCAAAGTAATTAACCTAAAACCGAGCCCGTGCCTTGTGGCACTTACCTGACCTAAGAGGTCACTGGCTGACCTAAGACCTTAAAATCGGGTAGTACCTAATTTTTGCGCCTTATAACGGCACACAAGCTTGTTTTTTTCCGCGATGCTCTAGCTCAATTAGAGGCGAAACGGCGAGGGAGTTGTAACAACCCTCCCCGGTCAATGTAGAAAACCAATCGGTCCGGCCAGGGTTAAATACCGGAATTGTGATCTAATGTAAAAAGACGGCCCAAGGTAACCCGACGTCAGTGACAGGTGTCCTACATTTGCAGCGTCTTATATTCACGAAGGTTTCAATTTCCACTTTCTTCGGCCGAGTGATGGTTGTCAATAGCAAGGCTTTCTAAATGCAAGCCGTAATCGCCACGCGATATGTGGAAGGCTTTTGATGTCAATACATACATAAATGCATACATAAAACGCGCTTTTCACAAAATTCATAAACTCAAGCGCATCTGTTTTTTTATGACCAGTCAACTACGCATGGATGTGTGCAGGCCACACAGGTCAGCGTAAGCCGGGCGCGGTGGCCGAGCCGAAACTGGGGCGGGGCGGGCGGTAGTTGGGTAGGAAGAGCGGCTCCTGCAAATTTTGCGCAAATATGCGCAGTTAGCTTTTATGTTGCCCTGGTGTAAATTTAAATCCTACTTCATCTCACAAAAAATCAGAGTGGAACTAGATGGGACTACCTGTTGTTTCCTTACCTAAACTTTGCAGTTATATTCCAGAATCACTGTAGGAGAGCCTTCATAAAAAAGCTATAGTACATCTTAGTTAGGGAAAAAGTATACCAAAAATTTTGCACTGACCAGTCGGCAACTTCATAACGAACATTTTGATGCATAATATGTGGGATTTCAATATGGTGTCTATCAGCAATAAGACTCTGAATATCCGGCTCAATAAACCTCTTGCTCCGCGTCAGTTTCCGAGTTCTGGGATACCCCATCTTCGGGGGCTGATTACAGCTATTTTTGGTCACCCGGATTAGTTTTTTTGGCCTAAGTATAATAATTTGATCAATTTCAAATCGATCTATATAACAAATAATCCGAAACTCCGGAATCGCCCGTGGCCTCTCGTGAGGGCGTTTCCGACCAGTGTGCGCCGGCGCGCACCCGAGCCATGATCACTCGGTGCAGCTCGAAAGCCACCGCGTTCGCCTTGGGGAGATGGGGGCGGGGTTGGTGTTTGTTGGGAAGGGGAGGGCCGGCTCGGTGACAGGCCACTCTTGGGGACCAGCGTGAAAGTGGTTCTAAAAATGATCAGTTTCTGTACAGAGGACCTCGGGCCGTGTACCTCGGGCAAGGGGCATTATACATTCAACTTGTATAGCTATAATGACGTCAAACAACTGGCTATCATCAAAGGGGCTTTAACTTACCATTGCTGATTTATATTTTCGTTGCAGCATCTGTCGTGTTTTCGGATCTGAAAGAAAGGTTCGCCGTTTTAAATATCCAGCCATGTCACCAATAGCACCTCAGCCATGTCAGCTGACCATAGTTACCGCTGTATGGTTTGATGTACACTCAGTTCCGTTTATAGAAGCTCACCGCGGTAACGTCCAACTGTTACGAAATGACCTTTGATTATTTCAAGCACCCGTCCCTTTCCAGCATCCTCAGCATCACCCCCATGGCCCCGTCAACTCACTGTATTCCTCGAGTACAAAGATGCCTCCCTTCTGGGTGAAGCACTTGCGTATGTGGTCTAGCCGGACGAAGAACTGCAAAGAGACCGATACAGCCGGTGAGGCTGCCGTCAGTAGCGGGATGAGCTCACCGTTACGTCACTGGGCTACGGACGTCACTGGCATCCTGAGATAACAGTGACTACGAGGACGGGCTAGGGATTGGAGGATATCGGATATCCAGTAGTTGTCTACTGAGAATGGGTCCGGATCCGAACACAATAAATGTGCCCAATGATGTGGGAGGTTCCAATACTCAGCTCCCAGATCTCAATGACCGGTCGCCGGTAGGTCGGCCTTCATGGCGTGACTTCCTGCTCACGCATAACGGCAGGGTTTAGGCTCGTTTCGATTTGTAGAAATGGAATCCAAACGAAGGTCCGAAATCCGAATATCCGAAAAATCTAAAATAAAATCCGAAGGACTTTAGGCCTATGTGTCCGCTAGGCGTAGCTTATTGCGAAGCAGTACGAGGCCGACAATAGATTTGGAAAGATTGGATTCGCTGGTAGAAATGATTAGTGAAAACGTATTACAAAGCCTCAAAGAGAGCCTGACATTTTCCAAAAGAGATAGAGGCCGATTTGGGCGTCTTTTGTTAGCTGCGGCACCCTGAGTGCAGCGTTCAATTCCTGGAGGACAGAAACCAATTTTGTTTCGTGTTGGTGATTCGAATATCAAGTCTCTGGTTTGGGCACCTCAGACATCGGCTGACATGGCTAACATTAATATTTAGACAGGGGCTCGGCAGGCACTAAGGACACAGTCGCTGAGAATTCCTCACGGAATCAAACCTATCTTTTCTCCCTGTAGGAGAGCAGCTATAATCTTCTCTTGTCGCCCAGAAAGGATAAAGGTTGTGGTGTTTCTAACTCTGCATAGGAGCTAAAGGGACACACTGGTACGGGGTACACAAAACGACGGCAACACATTGCTCTAAACGTCGGACTAGCGTTCCTCCAAGTAGCAGATTTACACAGTCAACCTACAAATGCAGACACTGACTATAGGTTCAGGTTTCCAGACGGAGGGAAAGGGGAACGCAGATTTACAGTAAACAATGCTTTGGTCACGGATCGACGCAACTCAATTAAACTCAATCACCGCGGGCAAATTGAATCCCTTAAAAATGCGACCGTCTATCATTCAGAGCTTCAAATACAGAAAGCCTGGAAGATCACAGATGAAAGAAATTCAACTACGTAGACAGATTAAACACAGTTCCGGAGCTGAAGCATGACACCAATTTCAACCTTTCTAGCTACTCGACATCAGGCAGGGGCAAAAAAACTGACACATTAAAACGTTCAGTTCTACAAATATCAGGCAGGCATCGTCAGATCACATCTCTAACATCTCTCGTGCGGCAGGGCCGTAACTAAGTAACTGCAGGCCCGGCAATGTGTTTCATGCGGGTGCAATGTGGGCAAATCACGCCGGCATGGGGCAAAACAAGGTGGACACTCGATCCGTGCCGCTGGTTCACCCCCGCGGACGTGAGTCTAACCCGAAGATAGGTCGTCGCTGAACACTAAGTTCATCAGTCTGATCTCAATCACAAGTAACCAAGAATGTTTTTTATAGCATCTTATTTCGGTTTAGGCCTCCCGACCGTGCCGGCCGGGACGGCTCAGTGTAAACGTTTCTGCCCCATGTGCGGCGGGTGATGCGCGGCCGGGCGTGCCTCAGCCCGTGACAGGCGGTGCGAGCAGCGGCCATCACTGAAGCCAGCATGCCACCGGCAGACGGTACCGTGCGCTGGGAATGGCAGTGAGTCGGCCCGGAAATAGGGCGGATAGGATCGGCTGTAATAGCGGAAAAGGTATGCGTTGCCCTTATGAAATTATCCTACTGATATGTTCGAAAATATGGACAACATGGATGATTCGTCGACTTTTTTCTATGCTTTCCGGTCACCTCAGAACCGTTTTTCGATCAAAGTCACGATTAAACACTGCATGGACTCGAATTCTGATAGGCATCTATACGAATGAATGGCAACTCGGTCGGCCAAGTCACTGGACGGACATTTCACCACACCGCAGACCTCAGATTGCGGATGGGGAGTGGGATCGCGTGGTCCGCCAAGGCAGATTTGACTTGCTCGCGGTGATAGGCTATTGCACTTCATTATGCCACAACTTCAATCGATGTTTGGTGTCGCATGCATAAGGGAACTGAAATGGGAACTTTTTCGAATAGTCTATTGATTCAAACTAATATGAGTACAAGGTTGTGCCAAACATCGAGATGCACTTCCTTTACAACAAAGTCGCTTATAGCGACTCAAGGTTGGTCGAATATCTGACACAAGGATGCATTTAACGTCCAACTAGCTACCCTAGATCTACTACACTAACAACGATACGACCGGTAGTTCCCAGCGGAGTCTGCCGTGCTTTCTGACCGGTCCGGCGCGGTTTCTCGGGACGGGTCCAGACAGGGGGTCGGACAGGAGGGTGGTCCCAGGCGGTGGGTGGGCGGGGCGTGCTGTACAGAGGGGCGGGCCAACCGTGCGGGTTCCGCAGGCCGATACAATACGAGGGAAGAGAGTGGAAGCAACTTGAGAGATGGTCACGTGACCGGCGGTCGGCCGGCGCATGCGTGTCGGCCGGCCGGCCGGCGGTGGAGAGCTAGTCTAGTCCAGGGTCACTACGGCGGGCCGGCGGCGGCCCACTCAGGCGCCTGTACCTCGAAATCCTTCACGTGATTGCATGGAATGGAGACGGGCCCGATCAGCTCGGCCTGTTCCGCGGTCCCGACTGTCAGACGGCAATAGAGCGGCTCTATATGTAGTAGGTAGGTCTGTATGGATGGATATAATATAGATAATAAACGGCGCACCTCCTCACATAGACAAGGACCATCTCAAAAGCTCCCCGGCCACTCCTCTCCGCAGCCAGTGAGAGAGCTAGTTCGTATAATAGAGAATGGCAATTGATTGCACATGCAACGAATATATAGAGATGACCGAGCAAGCAAGTTAGACAGGAGAGATCGAGAGGTCCTTGAGCAAGAGCAGAGCATTCCCATTGACAGTCAGAAGAAAAGGAAAAGATGAACCCAATGCAAATAATTCGGCCGGCCATCGCCCCAGCAGCGCGACATTGACCGACGCGGCTGAGGCGATAGCCGGCGCGGCTGCGGCAATGGTCGGCGCTCGGGGCCGGCCGCCTCTCCCCGGCGGCTGCCCTGCCGGCGGCCAGCCTCGCGGGTCGGGCCGGGGCCGCGGCGCGTCCCTGTCAGCGGGCGCGGTGGACCGCGCTGCCGGCCCACTGACCTTCGAGGTGGCGAACAGCAGGCCGACGCCCTCCATGCAGACCTGCAGCAGGCCGCCCTCGCCCGTCTTCAGGTCCTGCACGGGAAACTCGCCGCCCAGCTCGAGTCCGGGCGTGACGCCGGCGCCGCGCGCCGCCGCCCGCTCCATCGCCTCCTTGACGCAGTAGTAGAGGTCCTTGCACTGACGGCAAAACGCGGTGTGTCAAACGGCCGGGAGAAACGCCATTGGACGCTAAATATCCTGTATTTTTAATATCCAAGCTTTAGCTAAAAAGGAGCAAGCTCCCTTAAATTCTAAGGTATGGTTTTGTTTCTATCTCGACTTCACCGGCTCACTGACGCAGCGCTTCCCACCTTTTTCGTGTAATATTTGTGGAGCTGCGTCTTGCCGCCGTTGCGCCGCCACAGGCAGAGGATTTTGTTTTTGGGCGAGTAGGTCATGTTGACGAGTCTCTCGAACCACCATCTGCCGATGATGACGCCGCTGACGCTTCGCAGCACCAGGCCGTCATCGCGCACCTCCATAAACACCAGCTCGCCTGCAGACGTCATCGCCGCGCGTCATCAAATGAGTAGTGTGTTGGTGACAACGGTGATTTGTTACATGTTTAGTTGCGTGTTTTATGGACCATTATTCACCAGCTTTCACAACTTAGCACAATTGCAAGCGTTTACAAATATGATCAACAAGGATATCTACATATACCTGAGTGACATATAAGAAGTGTTTGCGAACAATGGTACTGCAGCATCCAGCATCAAGCGAAGCATTACAGTAAGCCGTTTTTGATTCAACTACAGCAATTAATGTGCTATTGAGACAGACCAGCGCACTTGAGCAATTTACCTACTTGAGACGTGACCATCACAACTTTATCCAGCCCTCAGACTTCCAGGCGAGTCTGCCAGGCCCGGCACCCAGACAAGTGGCTCGCACTAAACAACCAAAGTAATTTGGCCCAGACGACGGGGAACATAATTTGGCCGAGACAAGCCTTTATGACAGCCCGAAATAGACTCATAATGGAGGGCAATTTTGCATTGTCCGAAGTTCACCAGCTCCGCGGAGAGTTCAGGCTAGATGAGATCCGCTTAGCGCCCCGTCCTCTCTCGGGCTCGTGTAAAACCCCGGATGTCCGGCCCGTGGTGAACGGTGAGTATATCAGTCACAGATACTACCGCCTGGGGGTGCTCGGCTTCCGTGCGCTGATAAAGCCAATTCCTCCTGATCCGTCTTATCCGTCTGATACTGTAGTGGAGCCATCGGCAGAGAACACGGAACTACAGGAAACGAATGGAGAATCGGATCAGGGAGGACATGAACCTGAGGCTTTGTAAGGAGTTATCTGAGCGGGGGGGTATAACAGATCCTGTCTGTTATAAAGCAATCGTATTTAGTGGTCTCCAGGGTGTCTATCTGCATGAGACCGAGTCAGATCTCGGAGCCCAGTGACAGGAGTTGCCAGTGCGGAAGGGTATTGGGTGAGACGGTGATGTTATTGGGGTTCAAGGTCGGGAATCGGCATATACCTGAGCCGTCCGTGCCGCAGTGAACGGTGAGACGGTGGTGTTATGGTACAGAGTTCGTATTATAATAATTGACGATGAAAGCGTGGTGCTATGGTTCAGAGACAGGGATCAGCAGCTATACCTGTGGCGTCCGTGCCGCAGTGGACGGTGAAGCTCTGTCGGTGCATCTGACGCGATCCCAGCGGCCGCAGGTCGATGTCATTACCGTGCTGTAAATAACACACACCGATAAACGTTCTGCAGTGTATGGTGCAGTACGCAACTCCACATTCAGCTTATTATAGCTGTCAACGGTTGCCAAGCAACTCAGTGTGATGAGCTGACTGAAACGGCGAGGAGCCGAGTCGCCCGTAGTCTCTGGCAGTCAGGCTGTGCCGCAACGCCCCGGCGCACTGCGGTACAGTTTACCAGTCAGGCATTTTCCCGCACTGCTCCGAGCTGAGACTCTGTTCCACGGCACTTACAACCAGATCGGCTTTTTCGTGACTGGAAAGTTTGACTTATGTGACATCTACTTAGCGCACGCAAGTTGTACTCGATAATTGGCTGGTCTCGTTATCGAAACAAGTTAATTGACAAATCAAAGCGAAGAAACTAAATGAGCATCGAAACTCACCAGGTTTCCGATTTGATCGAGCAGTTCGTTGACCTCCTGACTGTAGACGAGTCCGATGTGACTCTTGCCGAGAAGCCGGCGGATCTTCCGCTTCAGTTCCTGCTTGTTCACCCGCAGCATCACCATGAAGGCCACCAGGTTGTAGAGCATGGTGGAGAGTAGGCGGTCCTCGTCGTGCTCCAGCCGTTTTCGCTCCGTCTCAGAGAGCGAGTTATACCTACGGGGCGAAATAAGCCACGGTCACGGCGGCATTCATGAGCGACAAGGGGATGACATTCTAAGGCATAACAATGAGCGCCTTGCAAGTGATGGCACAGAATGAGGGGATTATTTACATAACAAGGGGTCGGGGCACAATAAGGAATTTAGTGATGCTCAGGAATGGTGGTTGACTTAAGCTCAGCTTTCATCTCAAGAGGTTCCATGAAGACTCGCTAATGAATGGATGACGATACTATGAGCGCTGAGGTTTTATGACGAAACTCGAAAGACAAAAGAAACGTGATTTAATCTCCACGTAACCGTCGCCAGCCGGTATACCTACCTTTCCATCATCTCTCCGGGTCCCTGGTCCATGCCCACCATGTCCCGCTCCTGGGCGACCGCGTCCAGGAAGGCGTCCTCCCAGAAGGCCATCTGGTCCCAGAGAGGACACCGCTCCTTGTGCAGCAGACCTGCCGACGACGCGGGAAAATCGGCGGCTGGTTTCAGATTGTGAACCCAAAGGGTAGTCAGAACAAGAATCATTAGATCTGCTCCTAATGAGAACGCGCTAAAGCAGTGTTGACATTCAAGCGGGGCTCCGACACTGAATAATCCTGGTACTGTAGTGTACGTAAAATTGAATCATTAGTGAGGCTCTTGAGCAGCTACGTTCTCGAGGATCATTAATCCTAACGAGACATTACGCTGAAATAGTAGGGTGTATCTAATTAACGTCGCAAATGGAGCGAGAAAGTTCATTTCAATTTGACACTAAAAATTGAATAGGAAACCACCATAACTCGCAACGCGGGAATGCCCAGGCGGCAGGCTGACTCATTCACTCACCCTCGAACAGGTAGGTCCTGGTGGAGCCGTCCGGGGACGAGGTGTTGGACGTGCTGATCATGCTGCCTGCGTGGTAGCGGAACCCGGTGCTGAAGGACGACTTGCTGGACCACACGCTGCCGGCGCGGCCCCTCGGCCGGCTGCCGTCCAGCTCCGAGTCGCTGACCGTCGAGCGAAAGCTCTGCTGCATGCGCGCCTTCAGATAGCTGGGGTTGGTGATGATGCTGCCGGCGTCGCTGCCGTCGCTGCCGCGCGCCGCCTCGCTGTCGGACTCGGCCGAGGTCAGCTTGCTGAGCAGCAGCTGCCGCTTGTGCACCAGCAGGTCGCGCAGCATGTCCGAGGTGGAGGTCTCGTCGTCGGGACTGCGGAGCGCGTCGTGCACCAGACCTCTCCCGCAGCCGTCGCTGAACACGGAGCCCGAGGAGGACTTCCGGCTGATGTCGGGCGTGACGTCGAGCTGCGGCGGCGGCGCGCGCTGCGGGGAGGGCGGCGGCAGCGGCGAGCCGCGCGGAGAGCTCGGCGACAGCAGGTTCTCGCCGCTGCCGAACGGACTCGAGGCGGCCGAGATGCCCACCGTGGCCAGCGCGGCCGGCTCGCGCACCTCCCGGCTCCAGTAGTGCGTGTGCGCGATCTCCAGCACCTGGAAGGCGGACGCCATGCCGCCCAGACCGTGCTCGCTGTAGGTGTGCTCCAGGCCACTGACCACGGCCAGCAGCAGCTTCAGCATCCCCCGCCATACGTCCCGAGTCACGCAGACGTCGTCAATGTGGTCGTCGGGCCCGATCTTCTTGTCGAGGGTTTGGTTCAGACGGGAGACCACCAGGTTTCGGTAGTTCTCGTCTTCCATGAGCTTTTTGACGCGGTTCAACTTCAGCCAGCCGACCCCCTCGCCCTCCAGCACCTGACTTATTACCTGGTGACACAGCCAGAAGCAGCTAATGTAATGTCGGTGGATTTGACGTCAACGCACATATTGGATAATAGCAATCAAATTGACACAAATTATGGCTTCTGAGAGTCACAGCCCACAGGAAAGCTATTCATAACATTATTAGAAATTGACACGTAGTGCTTCTCTGCCGTTTATATACTAAGAGGAAGTTTAACAGGATCCAATATTCCACAAGTGATTTAATATATAGGATCAATTAATTTTCCCAACAAACTAGACAAAGTAACACGATACCACAATCAGTCTAACCGCCCACCTCCCCGCCATGTCTGACCTCTTTCAGGAAGACTTGATTCTCGGTGGACGTGGTGTTGCGCTGTTCGTACACGGCCGCCGCCTGGCGCGAGTCCTGTCTCTGCACCTGGTTACTGCTGTGCCGGATCAGGGACGACTTCTCGACCATGCCCCGGCGGCCCTTGGGGAACGGGCCGAACGGCGCCGGACGACTGGCCGGCTTCAACGAAGGCACTGCTAACGACGTGGAGCTGGAAGACTGCGACGATTTGCCCGCACTGCTCTTGGTGCCTGTTGAGCAAAGATATGGCGATAGTCTGGTTTTATCCCGTGCTTCGTCCTTACAATTAGCAAAATCCGTCCCTATATCAGCAGTATAATAACCAATAAGGTTAAGCCGGCTTCACAAAGCCAACAGCAACAGCACCCTGTTAAGTGCAAGAGTAGCAAGTAGCAAGAGCAGCAGGAGTAGTGCGATGAGTAAGTGGAAATATCAACAGGATCAGGGTTTCATTTCCCCGACAGGTAAGCTGTCCCAAGATCAGCCCGCTCACCGAATATATCGCTGAACAGATTGGAGGTCTGCTGGGCGATGCCGTTCAGCTCGCTACTGACGTTACTCAGGAAGTCGGTGTTGCCTGCGGGACCGCCGCTCCTCTGCAGGGCGCCCCGCGAGTCCCTCCGACCTCCGTCGGACCCCAGCGACTCCTGGTGACTCAGCGACCCGCCCCCTCCCCCACTGCCTCCACTGGAGTCCCGGCTGCCCAGGCTCTTCAGCGACACGGCCTCCTTGGCGCTGCGTGTGATGTCGCCCAGTCGCGCGCGGCCCACGAAGGTCAGATCCTCCAGGGTGGACTTGCTGGCTGTTTTGGCCGAGCGGGACAGCTCGCGGGCAGACTGGGACGCTTTGTGCACCGAGTGACTCGCCTCCTTCCGCGCCTGAGGAGGGATAGGGGAGAGGTGTCAGGGGATTGGACAGTAGGTAGCTGAGGTAACTGGAACACAGCCAAGTGAAAAACGAGCGGTATTGAATAAACGCTGGAACACAGTTGGCATCTTCAGCACTCAGACAAGGTTAGCACCAAGGCATGTCAATTATATGTCGGATCAGCGCTAAAGCTGGACACCGCCGGAAACGCTTCTGACAACACACCTGACATGATCAACAGTTAAGAAAATAGAATAACGAAATGAATGACAAACCCTGCAACTACCAACGTCAGATTGTAAGCGGATTACCGTTGTAACTGAATTCACAGACCGAATTTACGGACCGTCATGTAGGTAAATGTTTTTATCCTCACATGTCCCAGTAGACTGCCGTCCTCTCCGCTATGCTGTTTGACGACCTCAATTTTCTCGGCCACCTGGTTCTTCAGTTGACCGGTCAGCTGTAACAGACACACAGACATCGGTCGGTCAGCGGGGTTAAACGGTGTCACCAGAGCGATGTGAGAGCGTTCCAGGAAGCCAAAAAAGGCGAAACTAGATCGATTATACACAAGGGTTGAATTCCCGGACTGCTTGATAGCAGCGCTAGGCGACTCCAAAGCTAAATTGCAACGCTGCCTTAGTATTGCGATGGCGATGCAGCGAATGTGAAATATGGCGGAGCTATGGAGCAAGAAGCCCTTATTATACACTTGTACTCACGACAACATAAGTTTCAAATAAACAGAGTTGAAACCACCATTGCTACAACACAACACAAATAACTGAGGCTTGAACGAGACCGATAATAAAGGCATTAATTTTCTAAAATACCGATGTCGTGCAGCACCAAATAAGTATGTCAATTATATGTTAAATGATATTATAACTACTATGACGCGGAAACGGGACATTTCGAAAGAGGTACGCACGAGATCGGTAGTCGGTACTACAAATGAGATGTAGGAACCAGCGAGCCACTGCTACACAATTAAAAATACAACAGCGGGATATAAGTCTACTTACTGCGTGTTTAACTGTTTTCACGCAAGAAATTGAAGACTGTGCGTGTTCCCTGCACTGAACAGCAGTGCGAATGTTTTTAAGTGTACGTTTCGAAGAAAATCAACGGAACGTTCGTATGAAACAGCAGCCAAACAAGCTCCACTTTAGCCGGCCGTCATAACAGAGTCAGAATAACGGCAAATGCTGCGCCAACAGGGAAACTAATCACAGAACAGCGGAATCAGTGTCAGCACCTCGGCCATAGCGCGCTGCAAATCGATGCCTTGCTAGCTGTCTACAAAAGCAGCAGCGGCAACACAAAGCGGCGTTACAAGAATATAAATAATAAAACAAATACGCACAGCCTGAAAAGCAGAAAAGCAGCAGCGGGGTAAGCATCTACAGCAGCGGCGGTCAGATTCTAAGCATCGCAGAGCACATTGCCACACATCACAGCCGCTCCACAGATCAGCTCCACAACACCCATCAGCGGCTCGAACTGCGGACGTGGGGGAGGGGGTCCGCCGGCGGGCCCGTCGGACAGGCACCTTGTCCACCTGCGTCAGCAGGCTCTCCTGGCTGTTGTGGCGCAGACCGCGCGCCTGTGCCGTCAGCTGCTCCAGCACCGAGTGGCCGCCCGACTGGCTGCCCTGCCGGGGGGTGAGCGGCGGGCCCGGAGAGCCCACACTGCCGCCGCTCAGCTGACGGGTCGGCAGAGGAGAGACCTGCAGACGCTGACCGGTCAGCCGGGGACTGGGCGGGACTGCTGGGAGGTTTAGACGGGGACTGGGGCGGACTGCTGGGCGGTTCACTGACTGCTGAATCTGTGCTGACAGCGAGACTAAGGTGAGGGTGGAGACAGGCGAGGTTGAAAGATAACTATGGAAGGTGGTGCTATAACCGAGGAACTAGGAGCTCCTCGCACACAAGCCTTTTCATAACAGTAACTATACTGCAGGGTACTAAATATCGTGCATCGGGGAGCTGAATGAGTTAAGCGATCGGTGCGTTCTACATAAACAAGAATCCACTAGGAGCTGCTCCGGAACTAAGTGGTCAGCTCGGCACGACATCGGACGATCCATTCTTGTCGCCCTGCACGTCACGATCTAATCCGTAATCGAATCTCTCCTAATCCAGTTGACCTTGCCACCACCCACGGATAAACCGATTTCTCCTGTCCGCCACCACACCATTCATCTCACACACGACACATGACACGTCAGTGACGTCACTGGCGACCCTCTGACGCCACCGGTGACGTCAGCGGACTGACCGTTCGGCTGGCGAGGCGCGGCGGCCGGCCGGGCGGCTCTGAGCTGAGAGTGGCGCAGCTGGTCTCGGAGGAGAGGGACGGCGTGGGGCTCTGGCGGCGCGTGGAGATGACGGTGCGCGGTGTGGTGGCCACCGAGGCCGTGTCGGAGTCGACCGACATCGAGTCCAGGCCGTCCTGCCGAGGGGTGGGGGTCACACACGGGGTTATAGGAAATATATGAACGGCATGTCCTTAACTACCATCGCTGACGGTTGACTGTTAAAAGGGGTCATATATAAAACTGAGCATCGATTATGTACAGGCACATGAAAACACAATTAAATCAGAAAGGTAATAAACTAGGTATACATCATGTTATATTCGTAAGAAACGCGAACAAAAAGAGAGCTTAAACGTGATTTAAGAAAACATCGTAAATGGAAGTTAGGCCTTAGCATAGGTAAATGTCACGCTTGGAAAGAACAGGGCAAGCTCAAGTCAGTCACCCGTTGAAAATGTTCCAATAGCTGTGCTGTGTATCTATTTATGTAATCAGCCAAAGCATGTTCAATGGCTATGTGTGCATATCAACATCCAAACCGTTCCGTCACCAAAGCAGAAAGGAAAGACGAAAAGAGACTCGACCTCTCCGTCACCCTCACCACTGCAGCCGAAGCGGCACCGCAGCTCAAAACAAACCCCGTTACCGCCACCCATGCACCCAAAACAAGGCCACCCAAAACAAGGGATCGGACCGCCGTCACCAGCCTCAGCCCAGTCCGCCGATCAGACCAGCCGACAGGTCACTCCACTCGCACTCAGCGCCGCTAACCGCTTGTTTGGAGCTGGAGAATAGTCCGGATACCATTCGGCCCCACCAGGAGCGCTTCGGGTTCCTCTCCCCCGGCGGCGGGCTCTTCTCCACGTCCTTCGACTCTTCCACGGCTTGTCCAAGGTCCTGGTGATCGTCCTCCTGTAGCTGATCATCAGAAGACTGCTCCGGCTCGCCATACTCGGCCAGTGCCGGACAGGAGAGCGTCTGGCTGGGCGGCAGAGAGCGAAACTCTGGCACCGGTGGGCCCTCCGCCGGCTGTCCCCGGCCCGCCGCAGCGCGGTCCTGCATGTACTTGAGGTTGGAGTGGCGAATCATGGCCTTCCAGAAGGCGTCCTGAGCATCCCCGCGGATATGAGAGAATTAGATGGACATAATCTCCAACGCTACAGCCCCAGCGACACAGACCCCGGTGACCGCGGCACTCATAAATAACCCACGCGTCCAAAATAATGAATGTACACTGTACAGCCTGTGTCGCAGCGGCAGTCTGGCGTGTCCTGTGGCAGCATACATCATGCGGCTGCTCATTTAGAGTGCTGAAACCGGGTTTCGGCCATGGCTCGTAACATATATACAATGGTCTCGGCTGATTGAGCTGGAAATCCGGCGCTGTCGGGGCGTGCAATCAGGCCCGGGCCGCCCCTCCGCTGTCGCACATAGTCGCCGAACGTCAGCAGACGGACATTTATGAGACGTAATTGGGTACATTACCCGACAGAACGATAGATCGGTCTAGCGGCTGTCGTGGAGCTCGGACCTTGTGCAAGGCTACCGGCAACCGGTCCTCGCAACGACAAAAGGCAAGTGTATGCATATGATTGTCCGTAATGTCAAAAGTGCAACACCTTCAAATCTGCACCAGTTAATCCTTGATACATTTTCCCCGCGGGCACGCTGTGTATGTTACCAATGTTCCTACATTCCTTCCCGACCAAAATCCTGTATTTTAGTCATCTACAGCGTTGCAGCACTCACCACGGCGTCCGTCTGTATCGGGTAGACAGACTGTTCCTCCTCGTCCTCATCCTCATCGGCCGTCTCGCGCATGTCCTCGCCGCCCTGGGACGAGATGGACGAGCGCGAGGACGAGCCCCCCGAGGACTGGTGCGCCGAGTCCGAGGAGCGGGCCGAGCCCGGCACCAGCAGAGCCGAAGGAGGCGTGTAGACGGACTTGGTGTCTATTCCGCTGACCACACCGCCGCCGGCCGGCTCCAGCACCGCTGGAAGAAGTATGGGGAGGGGTGAGGTTAACTGATTTCGGTGGAGAAGGGGTGGGGAGTGAGTGAGTGAATGAGTGAGTGAGTGAGTGAGTGAGTGAGTGAGTGAGTGAGTGAGTGAGAGTGAGAGAGTGAGAGTGAGTGAGTGAGTGAGTGAGTGAGTGAGTGAGTGAGTGAGTGAGTGAGTGAGAGAGAGTCAGTGAGTGAGTGAGTGAGTGAGTGAGTGAGTGAGTGAGTGAGTGGGAGAAAAAACAGGTCATTGTAAATACAACACAGATCCCAGCACTATACACTGTGTACAGGATAAAATGGAGCTATATAGACACTGCATTGAAAACTGAGCGTCCTGCACATAAGTCAAAGTGTACTACAGCGCAATATCCGCAGCGTTGCATGGGACGAACGTTAAATTGCGTGCCATTGTAACATTGTGTCCGTGCTGTTCCATGTAAATTGCCGTCGGCACGCGTCCGACGCCAGAACGGCCGGGAAACTGTGAACTGCAGCGTGCCAGAACCTGGGCATGAACAATGAACATGCAAGCCACGCTGATTACTTCCTTACTGCTCACTAACGTTTTCGAAAAGGGCTTATAGGAGGCGAAACACCAAATGACAACGGAGGAGAATGTGAGTTCGAAAGAAGATAGCACGACATGAGATGAAGCATGGCAACTTTAGCTGCGGTCCTATTTGGAGAATAAAATTAAACAGCCGAATGTTGGAGATCGTAACCACTCGTAACAACTGTAAAGTATTTCGACTCAGAGCGTTATCAGTTAACGGATAAAGCTACCTTCGTTTTGAGCCTTGGCATAGAGTGGAGTCTATTATTATCATCGGTAGCTGAAGTCTGATGATCGTTAGACATGGCAGGGGTAAACAAAACGCCGCAGGCATGTATAATAATCCAAACACCGTAGTAGGCACTAAACAGTCATATCCCACAGGTGGATGGAGAAGAAAACGAAGCATAAAAGAACCACCACATCGATATAATTATGTAAATGAAGAACAAGATCAAAAGTCCCTGGATCTCATGCAAATTCCGGCTGTAGTTCAATAATAGATGGCTACGGCTCCAAAAGCAGATTACTTATTCGACCCCACCAGCAAGCACAGTGCAAAGCCTACCCGAGCTAGATCCCGCATAATCAGACAGAATCGCAACTCGGACTAACGAGGCTAACAACGCAGCAGTTGAAAATTAGCGCGATTAAAACTCGAGCTCACTTTCCATTAACCAGTTTCAGGAAATAATGCACGGAAAACAACCATGCGCCATCAATCATGTCCAAAGACAGCACTCAAGTTGCATGTGGCTCAGTACTATCGCAAATATCACGGTTCCTTTTCTGATAACGAATCGTGAAGTGTAAAACGCCGAGACCTCGTCAAGCATACCTACGATCAAAGCACATATTTTGAGTGCACCAGCTTACAACGCATATGTAGGTACGTAATTAGAACATTTGCTATGCCGCATTAATAGGTATTAGATCGGCCTAAGGAAGTCGCATTCCATTTACGAATGTTCAGTCGCAGCATTGTGCACCTCCTGGCACAACCCTCTACTGTACTGACTCTGACTCCCCCCACCCGCCATCCCGACTCACCGGGCGACAGATCGGAGAGCTGCATCTCGGAGACAAAGTCGCTCAGAGACGAGTACGAGCTGCTGGAGGACGGCGCGCCGTCCGAGTCCGAGCCGGACTCGTCCGTGGGCACCGCCTCCGTCTGAGAGGTAGCGGCGCGCACGGCGGCGCCCAGGCTGCCGGCGTCACTCCAGACCGTGAACCGCACCGCCTCCAGCTGGTGGCTGTACCACTTGGCCTTGTCGCCTGGAGGAGCGGAGGGTGGGTTAGGGGACGGATGGTGGCTACTTGGCCTTGTCGCCTGGAGGAGCGGAGGGTGGGTTATGGGCCTGGTCTGGCAGAGAGGAGGAGTGAAGGAGAGGGTTACCTTCAGCTGGTGACTGTACCACTTGGCCTTGTCGCCTGGTGGGGTGGAGGGAGGGGGGGAGGTCCCTAGCTTGTGGCTGTATGTATGTACCACTTGGCCTTGTCACCTGACGGGGGGGGGGGGAGAGTAAGGGTTAGGATTTTCAGCAGAGCTGTACCACTTGGTCTTGTCGCCTAAAGGTGGAGCGGAGGGAGGGTTAGGGCCGAGTACGGCGGAGAAAAGGGGAGGGTTAGGGGACGGATGGTGACTGTACCACTTGACCTTGTCGCCTGGCGGGGCGGGAAAGGGTGGGGTAAGTTATGAAAAGGTAGTGACAAAGGTAGGTCACATGACCCAATCACAGGCCAGCGCGGTAAGCCAGGATAAGAAATAGCCGTCAGTCGTCAAATTAAACAAATGATCAAAGATCAGGCCGGAGACCAAGGATAAGGTACATTGCAACTTAAAAGTCTTAAAGCAAGGTCACAAGGCGGTAGGGGACCTGAAAATCACTCGCTTCCTTCCACGGGGAGGATGAACTCAGTCTGACGTCACTACGAAGCTCGTTCGGCCTGTGTCCCATTCGGCGCCGGCTTCGATCGATAGTTAATAACGTCCCGCTAATTATCCCCCGTTCCACCAGCAGCGGTTCTCCGTACCTACCTGCCGCCCGCCTGAAAACGCAGCTACCCGCTCCACGTCAGCCGCAAACCCCTTACACGCTACAGCCCAGCTCCCCTGCGCCTCTTTCTCAGCTTCTGCTCGGCCGGGACTCCGCACGGTGCCCGTAACGAGCGAGATGCGACTCCGAGCGTCCCCGGCGGCGGGATTAGCCGCGCGGCTCGTGAGCGGACTCATTTGTCCCGGTCCGGTCAGGACAGCGGCGGCCGAGCGGCAGAGAGGAGCGGTCGCTAGGGGCCCCCCGGTGTCGGGAGAGGCGGGCAGGGTCGGGGGAGGCGTGTGAAGTATGAAGACGTCGGCACTCGGCAGTGTGGCTGATAAAGAAGGTCAATTAGGCAGTTGGTAGGGATGTCAGTCAATCCCAAGAGTGATGAGAGGCTGGGGTTAGGATGGCAGCGAATAAACAGTTTTAGATCTTTATCTTTGCGACGTGAGCAGCCTTTAGCTGATAGCGGGGCTTTGATAGATGACACATGCAACATAAGTATGTTTCGTTCTGAAGAAGAGGCGACTCACCGATCTGGGTTGGATCAAACACGCCCGTCTGCACGCGCAGGAAGGCCGCGTTGGTTGGGGACAGCGCCCATTCGGCCAGGTACTCGACCGCCTGAAAACAGACACGTTACGGCGATCACAGACTATCATCAGTACAGTTGACAACAGGGGACCGTCGTGCACGGCTATATAAAGACGGCAAAGAAAAACTGACAGATGCGATCGCTGCATTAGCTGCATTAGCTTATATAACGGAAAACTGAAGCCGAAATTAGTTCAAATCAATTCTAGCAGATCGGCTTGGCAGAAACGTGCCTGTGTTTTTTTGAAACCAGAGAAACTAATATGCTACCTACCAGTATAACGCCTTTTGGGGCGACAAACGGAGCGAGCGAGAGGGTGGGACTTGCACGTGCGAAATTGCGAGGGGGTACCTCCAACTGACTTGTGCACGGCACCCTACTAACTGGTCTCTAGCGATGTGCCAAATTTGGGCACAATCGGCCCAGCCGTTCTCGAGATCTGGAAGCGGCACCCTGCACGTGCGCACGTGCAAGATGGGTCCCAACTGACTTGTGTACGGCACCCTACTAACCGGTCCCTAACCGTGTACCAAATTTGAGCGCAATTGGTCCAGCCGTTCCCGAGATCTGGAAACGACCCCTGCACGTGCGCACGTGCAGCAGCACCCCAACTCTGGCACATGTATATGCAGTGCCTAGTGGGTGCCTACCTACATGCCAACTTTCAGCGCAATCGGCCAAGTAGTTACCGAGATATTGCAACAATTACAAAACTGACACCTCTTCGTTTTGCACGTGGCACGTGCATAAGGGGTCACCCACATGCATCGGGAATAGTCCAATACTTGGTAGAAGGAATGAAGCTACCATACAAAAATTACCGCGTGTAAATCGGTCAAGTGGTTGCTGAGATATAAGCCTCGCAAAAGCGTGACCACGGCCGGCCGGCCGGCCGGCCGCTCATACTCAGAAATTTCCGTTAATCTAAGGAAAGACTACGCTCGCTTCGCTCGCTCCGTAATGATCCGGAGGTGCTTATCAACAGTGCCGTTTATAGATTCACTGAATATCCACGAAGAGCCCGATTTATGTATTGCCATTGCTCGTAGGCTGCTGTTACATATGAGATAAGGAATGTCCTCCACTCATATCCTCGGGATTGGCCAGAGGGCACGCTTCATATGCGCTCTCCACTTCAGACAGCCCTCTTTGGCACGGATATAAGCCCCAGCAGACATGCACGCTTGTCTGGCTTATTGGAAATACGAGCCGCTACTTCCCGTTGGCACCATGGCGCCGCCTGAGGACCGCACTGCCGCTAGACACAGGCCTCCCACATTACGCTGATCACAGGGAACACAAGAGCCGCTGCACAGTCGGCCGCCGCGCGGTGACGACGGCCAGACTCGGCCAGAGTCCCGGAAATTCGAGCTACGGTCAAACAACTCACGGTAGCGACCAGTTTTCGGAGAATCACTGAAGCGAGCAAGTGCCAACGAACAAGACTTTCTGCAGTCCGCTGGTTCCGCGTCGTACGATTGTCGCAGCGTGAATCGTCGAAAGAAACGCGCAAGGCCAACAGCGCGACGCAAAACTTTGTCCGTCCGATTCGGTTGCAATCTGTTGAAAAGTCAGCCGGGGAAACGAGCACAGTTCCGCTGTGACTGGCGCAGTGGCACGGCAGGGGTAGGAGCAGGGGAAGGGGAGGTGCGGAGCAGGCTCTGGGCAGACTCGCAGCTGGCAGCGCGTTTCTCAGTAACTCAATTCCGTCGGGCTCAATTGGTGAACGATCATTAATCACGTGACAGTGAGCCGTTAAGTCCATGACGGCCTCATTTTTACCCAGAAATAGAAATGCATAGCTTCGCAGCCTTGTGAGACGTATTTTCCGAGAGCTGCAACTCATTTCCCATTGGAATCATGGCGAACTGAAATACGCCAGAATGTATGATTATGGTTTCCTTCGTCATGTCCCTGAGGCCTGGCACCGCCGCTGGCATTAATATGAGAAAGCGGTAACTCCTTCGATCTTGACATTTCCAATGCATGGTGGGATTTCGCCAGTCATGCACCCCATTCAAATAAAGGTTAGACATGAATAAGTAGGTTATTGCTGTGCTTAAAATTGGCAAACTGTTATGCAATTATTTCGAATGATAATTTCACAAAGCGCAGGCTGGGAGCTCGGTTCAATTCCCCATACTATTCCCTCCACTCGAAAGCCATCATTCCTGCTTAGTATTTGCAAATATTTTCTTATTTCTTAGGCTTTCTTAGGCTTAGGTCTATCAAAATTTTCGCAAAGACTGACCGAGCCTGTGAAAAAGAGACTTCTTGAAGCACTTGTGTTTCCTCATTATGTACTGTTTGACTGTGTGGGGGAGCTGCAGCAGGGCCCAGCGGCACCGCATCCAGAAGGTGATAAACCATTGTGTTCGTATTGTGAAGGGTGCTCGCCGGTATGATCACGTGACCCCCCTCCTGACGGAGCTGGGCTGGCAGCGATTTGACGATCTGTTAAATCAGCGTGATTTGGCGGCGATGCACATGATTCTGCACTCGCCTCGTTCGCCTGTGTGCCTGAGAGAGCGTGTGACTTACCGTGAGACCGTGTCAAGCCGTGTCACTCGAGGCACAGCCGACAGACTCTTGGAGCTGCCCAGGGTCCGTACAGAGATTGCTCGTCGCTGCTTTGCATCCCGTGCTGTTTCCGCATGGAACAGCAGCAAGTCGGTATCGCGCGACTCGGCGAGCTCGCGGACTTGTACTCGGCGGGCGCAATGATCGCACCACCAGCCAGCCGATATCTGATGTCTCATTTTATTTGTACCTATTTCTACTTTTTATTTTTATACCTACCTTTTATTATGAATGTGAATGTGCATGAATGTGAGTACCATTGTAAAATGTGACGCGTAACCGGAAGAGCCACCACGTGGAGTGTTATAAGAATACATGATTGATTGATTGATTGATTGATTGAAATAAAACTGTTTACCGTTGCCTTTATATCAAGTATGCGTTGGTGTCGGTTATCCGACCTTTCGCAATGTATCTTTTATATTTTCCCAATTTTATTGAATAAACACCGTTATTTGCCCGAAGCAGCGCAGTTTTCTTAAAATTTGCGTACCGCGCCATTTGCATGTCTATGCATTTCTGAGCAGGTTTTCTGCGGGCGTGGCGTACAAAGATTCGCCCGTTCAATGCCAGCGACTCGAGAGAGGGTCATTGAGCGCCCTCTGAGTGCGTCACATTCGCCGCAGTTGCGTCAGACGGGGATATTTCGGCCCCAGACTGTCAGCTCCCTGCTACAAACAGGCCCCGGGATCGCCAGTCTGCTCGAGACACGCAAACCATTCTCCACCCCGACTGCAGACCAAAGCGGCAGATCGACGAAAACAAAGTTGTTAAAATAAAACTAGTTTGAGAATCAGCCATGCAAGGAGAATCACAAAACATTTAATCCCAGCCTTGTTACTGTGCCCTAGGATTCTGTTATAAACCGCGTTTCAGGTGGTCGTTACTCGGAACTTTGGACCTTGAGGGTTGTTCAGCACGTTCGACGCGTTCGTTGCGAACGTGAAGGACCTTGTTTGGAAGTCGTGTGGGTCAGGGACTCGAAGAGAGCATGCTTCAAGCACTGAGACTGACCTGTGTGCGGGCCAGCCGATTCAGGAACTGGGTGACCCGGGGTCGTGACCGGAGGAACGAGTTGATCTGAAAGGCGACCACTGGCCGCGGGTAGAGCCGCAGGGTGCGCGTGTGCTCCGTGAAGTTGGCCAACACGTTCTGAGAGTTGAAGAAACGAATCTGCAAACAGATACGTTAGTTATAGGGTAAGTGGGGCTTGATGTATCTAATGTATCCGTAATCTAACTCACTATACATTGTTTTACTTCAAATTAAAACAGCTGAGACGATAACTCAGGGTACTTTTAACTCAGTACTTTCTTCCACAATTTCGAGAGAAACGGTTCTTAACTCAGAAACATTTCGTAGCTCATCGTCTGAGACTCTGAATCCCATATCGGGCAAGTCTTTAAGCAAATGGCACCATAAACGATATTTACATTCCAAAATTGTACGCTTTATCTCCACCCTATCCAACACATCCCGCAGAATCAAATTTCCGTTTCCATCTATCCAAGGCCGTATCATCTATCTCCAAACGGCAAGCATCCGGGTTCAGAACATTGTCCCCTACCGTCGCCGCCAGTTACCATGACAACCAGCCCTGCCGCCGCCGTCCCCACCAGTTACTATGGCTACCGGTACCCCTTTCAGCCGCCGTCAGTTACCATTGCTACCCGAGACGCCACGTCCACGCTGTCGACGTCGTTTCCATAGATGAGCGGATTGTATCCGGAGCCGCCGGAGGCCGGCACCTGCTGAAGCGCCTCGACAGACTCGCGCGGCAGCTGGTCGAGGTTCTTGATGGGCTGCTGGACCATGGACATGCTGCTCAGGGCCTGCAGTGAGAGAAGCCGGCAAGGCGATGGTTAGAGGTGTAAGTCCACGGGAGGACAGACAGTGATGTTGTATGGTAAATGCAGGGAGCTGGGGAGCTGATGGCAGAATGAGTGATGCTGCAAAAAAATCATGCAGCTCAAGGCCGACATCGAGAAACAAAAGCTATTGAGAAGAGGGGGAACGAGGACATGCAAACACTGCCTGAGCTAACCAGACAACGAATTTCGTAGGTACATGCGTAATAGGTACTTTTGATCAATTAGGCATAAGCACTTACATTTATAAACACATTTACGTTCAAAAGTCAAAGGGACGAATAAAGAGCAATTACTACGATAGTAAATCCAATGAAGAACCTATGGATAATCTGTTCAAAGAGATGGATGGGTGACTACAAGCCACAAGCCATAAGACTACTTCTGTGGTGAAGTCACTTGAGTCTAGTAACATCGTCATCCGTGATACAAGGCAGCCATTTAGTGTCCGTGTGTGATCGATCAGGATGATCGGTCTGCTGAGGTGTCAGGAGCCGATCATGGATAACAGTGTGTGAGAAAAGATACGCAAAATAATGCAAATTTACAGCAGACGCTATTTCTATTAGCCAATGCATATCGATACCTAATGGAAGACCGTGCCTATATACAAGCATTTACATCAAATCAAAGCTTATCATCAAAACCAGACAGCAGCATAACCAAACACTTCACAATTCCTCAGAAAACAAAACTCCGACAATACATTTCTAGAACGAAACTCCCACATTGCATAATAATGCTTCTCAATTTGTGAGCTCCAATAAGCTATGCAATTTCCACTACATAATCGGAGGTACAGCTTCACGGCTGGTGTCTGTAATAACCATTTACAGTACATATTTACACTGTATGTACATAGTTATGTGTAGATACCGTGGAAACGTAGGTAAAAGGCAAAGAACAGGAAACACTATCGCAAAAAGAGTGAAGGTAAATGAATGATAAAATCGAGCCCAACTTCTAAACGGCCATACTGTCTATGTACATACATATTAAAATGGTACCTTTCTTCACCCGCAGCTTGGACGAGACACTACAGAAGACTGCCGAAAATCATCAAAATAATCGGACAAACATCCAAGAAAATGGCGGAAACAACTATCTACAGAACACTAAAAAACTGTTGTAGGACTTGGAAAAAGGCTAATAAACCAGCATGCATCGAGAGACAGCCAACCTAGCTATATTGGCAAGCAGGAGTTTTTGCGGAAGAACAAAAAGGTAGGAAGTTAAATTATTTACAAGCACTACCCCCAGCTCGAAAGAGAAAGATATAGTGTTGCAAAAATAGAAAAGCGTCCTGATGTGGTTACCTCATCCAGCTTGTGAATAGCCTGATAAGTGCACACAGAGACGGAAAGAGTGAGTCAACACACATCCATTGGCATTTGGCGACAGGAACAGGTAGACAAGAAAAGCCGACATGGGTGTGGGGCGGTCACAGCAACGGCCTCATGAAAAATCACCAAGCCTTGCGTTCCCACAACATCTCCGTGAACACAAACATCGCCATTCCACACTCACGTCCAAACGTCATCTCGAGGCCTCAGTCACACATCCATTATCCCAAAAATAGCATAAGGTGGAACTAGATATCAATGTCGGATTAGATAAGTTCCCCCCCCCCTAGCCACACCCTATTCATTGACGTTAAGATACATAACCCATTATTCGCAAGTATGTATGCAAGCGTGATTAAGCTGAGACATCGTAATGATAAACATATGTGCCGTGGATCTTATAATGCTGAAGCACGATATAGAAAGGTATTGGTACTCGTGTGTATACTGTATATGGCAGTATATGTCTTGGTAAAGACCCGAGTTTGCCGAGTATTCAGCAGAGGCCCGGGCACTAAATGCGGACACCGCACATATTTCACTGTCAATAAGCTCCGATAGCAGCACAGTCGAGGCACAGCACGCTGAAATTGAACGCGGCACCAGTGTGATATATCCCCGGCGGGCATCATAATTTGGTGTGGAATTGAATTGGAATGCAATTTCGCGAAGTAAAAATACATCAAAGAATATTTATTGGGCCCGTATAGCGGCCAGGAATGCCCTTGATATGGGCCCGGCCGTCATATATCCGCCGGTGGCTGGTGGCGCTGGCCGCCGCGCTGGTGCTCGCCATTTACATGGACCCGTCTCCGGCCCGGGGAGATAGCTCAGATTAAGAGCTCAGTCCGGGAATGGATGGACATAAAATCATGAATATCGACCGACTGGGACGCTGTGTGTAGCAGCTGGGCGGATATCCACAGCCTGGCCGTATAAAAAGCGCCGCTGGAGCATAAATCAGCCGTAGAAAAATAACATCCAAACGGTTATAGTATAATAGCGATTGAAGCCTAAGCAAGCGATGAGAGCGACTGGGTGGCTTTCGTATACAGTATACACTGCAAAATGTTGGCTCGCAACGCAGTACTTTTTGTTGTATTCAACTAAAATCGCCAACAGAGCTGCGCACCACTGGCACCTGTAAAATGGGAAGTGCCTAGCCACAGACGTCCACCAGCTCTGAGCAGACCGAGACTCGATCTCAGATCGGCGTCGTTGTAGACGACACTGCCGGCCGCCGGGGTGCTAACTCAGACACAGTGGGAACGACTCGCTCCCTGCTCGGTCGATGGGTCGCGCGGCCGGGCTCGTGCCCAGACTCGCGGCGGCCCGGGTCTCTTCAGACGGTACCTCCGCGAGGCGTACCACGAACCCGCGGCCGGGAGCGACCCCAGAGCCTGAGCTGAGCCCAGACGGCCGTCGGCGCGCACAGGGACAGAGCCCAGCATACCGCCGGGATCGGCCCGGCAGCAGGGGCTCGCCGTGTCTGCAACCTAATACCTCGCTGAGTGGTTTCCTGCCAACGTCAGCCGCTAATGCTAAATACAGCTAGACCTGCATTTCCCGGAACGAATATAACTTCTTATCCCGTTTCCCATTAAATATTTTTCCTTCACCTACGCTCGGCCGATGTTTGTGAGTTCCGTCACGAGCGCGTGCCGTCATCACGCCTTTCTGTGTGCGTCACTGCGGCGCCATCCGATCAGAGAGGCACGCGCAGGGTTCTATCGAGCTCGGCCGGTCGCCACCATCAGAAGGCCATTTGGTCAGCAGAAGCGGCCCGCTCGGCCACCAGACGAATACTGAGCGGGCCGAAGCGGCGCACACATAACAGCCCGCCCTAATGAAACGCGGCGGCCGCCAGGGACCGCGCCACAAGATGAAAGCATAAATGTGCAAACACACTGGAAATCGGCGCACGCAGCACGTAGCCGACATTAATTTATATGGCGGTGGGGTGTAGGGTTTGCCACAAACAACGCCGCCTATCAACGTCAAATGGACCTCGCGCGCTCCCGGCTTTCGCCAACAGTTCCGCATTGAGCTTTTGATTGGGTGCATTCCCGTTGCATCGTCAGAAATCTAATAACCAGTAAGCACTACCCAGGAAAACCCGCTTTCCTCTGGCATTCACGTTAACCTGTTGAGCTCCTGCTGACAGTAACAGCGCGGAACGCGACTGACCTGGCGCAGATGGGTCTTCAGTACGGAGCACTCGGGTTCGGGTAGCGAGGGAAGCTCCTCTCCCGCTGACGGTGGCACCACCTTATTGCTGTCCAGGTCCACCAGCCATACGTCGTCGGGAAGCCTGAGGGAAGGCAAACGACGGGTCATATAGGAGGGTTAGACAGGTTAGATGGGGTCAGATGAGTCAGATGGGTCAGATAGGGTCCGTAAGGTCAAACGGGGTCAGGGTTAGTCAGATTTAACAGGTGAAGATGGATCAGTCAGGGTTAGATAGGTGAAACAGGGTTAGACAAAGTCAGAGAGGATGAGATGAGTCAAGTGTGGCGCCAGTCCGTCGATAGCAGATAAAATCTCATCGTTTAATGGGAATATTGGCTTAAACTTGTCCGCCAAGTGCCAGCTCATCGTTCACATTTTGCTCGCACTGTAGACCGACGTCGATCAGTGTTGACCAAAGAAATAGGATCGAGAGCGACCACTCAGCACACAGTGAAGGGCACACGGATCGTATTACTGGACGGGAAGCGCACGGGCCCCGTTCCGCAGCGGCCGACAGTGAACACACGGATCGCGTTTCACAGCACATCACACTGCGCTGCGAACAACCCTGCGTAGTGTCCTAAAATTGAGTTTTGTCTTGGGTGTCAGAGGGGAAAATTCCTCACCAAAAACAGGGGAGAGAGTGGAAAACTGCTGATTCGATTAGATCAAAAAGAGTGAGAAACGGCATAAACCAGGCATTTATTCTAGGTTGTAGAATGCTTGATGCTAAACCGGGCATCCACCCAACTGCTCTTTTTATAGGTTAACAATCTAGGTTTTCGTGGTTGGGAGTGGAAAATTGTTCTTAAAAATTGCTGGTGAGAGTGGAAAATGAATTTCATTTGGATGTCGTTTCTCACCCAAATCGACAAATTTTGGGACATTGGCAAAAGCGACGCAGCCTGCGTCGCTTTTGAACACGACTACGGTACACATGGGCAGCAAGCACCAGCGTTCCACAGCACCAATACAGCACGCACCACCAGCGGCAAACGGCTCTATACGGCAACAAATATAGGACTGTGGACATCCGGATGGTCCTGTTCCTTAGAAACTGAGAACACTCACTTGTCTTCCGGAAGGATGATGACTGGTCTAATAATAACAAACGATATCCCCAAAACACCGCAAAGGGAGTTCTGAGAACATCAGCTTACTGGCATCGGAAATAATTCCTTTTATTGTCGAGTTCGGAGCCGGGGCCGGCCACTTGCGCTCATCGCGTGGGCGGCACGTGATGTCTGGCGGTCAGTCCGTGGGCAGGGCGCGGGCGGATGAGACTGACGGGCCAGGACAGAACGACGAGAACGGAGTTGAGAAAGGCAGGGCGGAGGCGGCGAGGCGCCTGTGAGGCAACGCCAGTGAAGGTCAGAAATCAGATCACATGAGTAGCGAGTGTAGCCGATCAAACTACGTTGGGAGGACAGTTGGGCAGGTTGGTGAGCGACAGTTAACAGCTGGAGCAGCTGCAGCGGGAGGGATGCCGGTAGCTGCCACAGCTCTCTCCGAGGAGCTGTCAGGCTCAGGTGTGCGCCCGACGCCCGGCGCCCGGCGCTGGCGGTCTATCACAGCTGCGGCAGACAGCCCGGCTCCCGGGCAGCTCCACTCCTGCAGTCGCCGCCGCCGCTATTGGCTCCCAGGCTGAGCTGCCCCGGAGACGGCCAACGAGGTCGTGCCGAAAATCGCCGATCAGCCGGCTGAAGCCATTACGATCGGCGCAGCGATTGGCGGCGGCGACCGCGGCCGCTGATCCGGAGAAAGAGGGCGGGGAGAGAGAGGGAGGACAGAGGGGAGGCAAAGAAAGCGTGCGATTGGCAGGAGCCAAAGACCGTAGCGACGACCAAGGGTGTTGATCCAAGAAGAGGGAATAGATGCTGAGTGAGAGAGAGAGAGAGAGAGAGAGAGAGAGAGAGAGAGAGAGAGAGAGAGAGAGAGAGAGAGAGAGAGAGAGAGAGAGAGAGAGAGAAAGAAAGAAAGAAAGAGAGAGAGAGAGAAAGAGAGAGAGAGACGGAGAGAGAAAGAGAGAGAGAGAAACGGAGAGAGAAAGAGAGAGGGATGGAGAAAGAGGATCTGGAAGGAGAGAGTATGATTGAGGGCTGGGAATATATTGGTCCGCGCTGTCCCCGCTGATTCTCAGTCACTGTCGGAGACCCACAATCGCTGATTGTCAGTCACTGTCGTGGAGCCGCAGTCGCTGATTGTCAGTCACTGTCGTGGGGCCGCAGTCGCTGATTGTCAGTTACTGTCGTGGGGTCGCAGTCGCTGATGTCAGTCACTGTCGTGGGGTGGCAGTCTGCCCCAGCTGCTGACTGACGAGAAACGTCCGCCGCCGGTAGCCGACTGCTCAGGACGAACAAATGGCCCGGCGACGCCGAACTTTTCATTTTATTGTGTTACCAGCGACAAGTTTTGTTCCCGTCGGTCTTATTGGCCTCACTTTAAGCCGTCCAAGACGTAAAAGACAGGACAAGTGACAGGCTTAACTGATGGGAGTTCAGTAAAGGAAACGACGAGCAATTCTCAGCGAAATTGGCAGAGAGTGAGGCGATCCATTAGGCAGAAATGAAGCACGTGCCATAGAAGAGGCGAGGTAGTCCGAACGACGAACAGCAGCTTGCCATGAATACAGGCTCGTGAGTCGTAAATTGCTTACGGTCCTCGATGAGCCTATCCGAACGTTCCAGGCTCGAAATGCAATACTAATCAGATGCCGCATCCGCGTTGGGAATAATACATTCCGTTCTTACAGCTACGGGTGGTGCATGTTTGTAAAACAGCTGAAGGCTCCTCAGACACTCAGACATTCGGGATTGAGTCGGTTCAGGTCAGCGGGTCGGGTGGGCGGAAATCAGTCATACGACGTAGGTAGCAAGCAGCGAAGCGTTACAACACCAGGAGCAGAATGTCCCTCTCGACAGAGCACCGTGCAGCTTCCAGACGTCCCATTAACTTTACCAAAATAGCACTCCTAAATACTGTGTCGTAGTACAAGCCACCGAAATAAGTTGGCGTCCTCTAAGAATACCGCCGCGGCGCGTATAGCCGTAAACCACGTCTGGCAGTCGTGGATTACTCCCTCGTTACGGGCGCCTGAAGTGCCGTTGGCGGCGGCCAGCCACCTGGATCAGGTTCCGTGGCGCCGCGGGCCTACCTGAAGTGGCGCTTGTAGAGCAGAAAGCTGGCCGGCACGCCGATAATGAACGGTGTGGGCGCCAGCAGCAGCTGCTCCGCGCAGCTCATACAGGTCGGCAGCATCGGGATGACGGGGAACATGTACTCGAGCGGGTAGATGAGCGCCACGAACGCCATCACGGACATGGTCAGCGCGTTGTAGTCCCGAGACTGGATCACCAGCTGCCGGAGAAAGAACAAGAAACGACGGAGTTGTAGTCAAATGCTAATAACTGGTCCAGTTTCGACAAGTGGTGATAAAAAACGGGAAGCAGACATGCTTAATTATTTCGGTGGCTGAAAAATGCCGTCTTTATCCATATGGTAGGGTCAACGGGTTCGGTAGAAATGTAGCCGCTCGTGTAAGAGATAGATGAGTGCCATACACTTGGCTGGCACAGTCAAATAAGAACGCATTCAAGCAGCTATGTTGGGTGCAGTCGTGCTACTACGAAATTTCAGCAGTCTCGCCCAGACCCTAGTTAAGTGATGAGAAAATCCTCTCACGAGAATTCACTTGCAACAGGAAAAGTTGCACACTTCAAAGCCGCTCGCGATTCAACGGCGCCAGTATAGGAGTTAGTTTCGCTTACGTAAGCAAAGAAACGAGTGAAAATCCGACAAATTGATAAGTTTTAAATGCATTTCACTAATAAACGCTAAAGAACCACGCTACAGTGACACACTGACACGAATGAATAACTTTGCAACCGCTAAATTGGAACGCACTAGGAAATATGGGAGTTTCGTTTCCGGGCTGTCGGTTTTAAGATCCACTGTAACTATGCATTTGAGTTGAGAATTGCGTTGCTAATCACAAAACTTTAAGCTCTACAAGAAGTTTTCGGCACTTTTAATGAGTTAAATGACGAAAAGAAGACCTAGTAAACATTTCCAACCATGTTCCTCATTACGAGCATAAGGCAGTACTCGTAAGCCGCAGTAATCTTTGAAGCTCCGCTTCCATTAAGCAGCTGTTTACTCGAGCATCACACCCACTTCACGGAGGCCCCACAGACTTTGCAATAACAGGCCTGCAAACTTCAGACAATGAACGTGAGATGAATACAAAACGCGGAGCAATAGCCGGCCCCCGCTCCCTGCTGTAAATGAACCCCCGCCGCCGCGGCGGCGGCTCGGTGACTGACCTTGTACTCGAGTATGATGAGAGTGAGCACCTGGAGACAAGTCTCCACGCCGAGCAGCTCCAGCGGCAGGTGCAGCGGGAAGTCGATCAGCGAGAAGCGCGTGTGGTCGGGCAGCGCCAGCGTCAGCGGCCGGTGCAGCTCCGGCGAGAGCAGCTCGATCTGAAACCCACCGCCGCGCGGTGTGTAACTCTCACACACGGACAGCTCATGGACCGCGGCCGGCAGGCAGCTCAGACAGACACAAACCGGCCGGCACGTCAGACAGACACCGGGTGGCGTCTGGCCCGGGTACAGATGAGCTTCAGAGCCAGCCGAAACTTAGTGAGACTGTCGAACGGTGTATCAATAGCCTGTGTCAGTTCGGAAGAAATATCGGATATAATTTTTCTAATGATACTACATTTTCCGGAGAAAAAACTCCCTGAGGAACTCCGAATCGCACCTTTATCAGTTAACTTCGGCTTTAAGTATCTCTTCACTCATTAAATGTACAATATTAGCCTAGAATGGGCCATCTAACTTAAGCAGGCAAGTAGTGAAACTTTGACCGAATAATGCCCACAGCAGATTTCCCTACGCGCGGACAGTTCGTAAATGCATCGATTTCATTTGTCCATCTCAGTGTTTCGTACTCACGTTCGGGGGCACCAGAGAAGCACTCACCTCCACTCGCGTTTTCCCCGGGACGGGCACCGGCGCCGAGAGCAGGCGCAGGATCCAGGTCTCGATCTCTCGCACGTCATGGAGCAGGATGGACGGCAGAGGGGTCTCCTGACCGCGACCGGTCAGCACCGACCACACCGACTCCCTGCGAACAGAGCGGGTGCAGAGACGGTGAACAGGCGCAAAAAATATAAATAATGTTAGGTGCTTACAATTGAAACTATTGAAATCAGCTTCATCCAATCACTGCAAAATTTTTAAACTCATGTCGCATGAACCTGCAATTAAAACCCATGTCGTCGGTATATCGTATTACCACTTTTTTTTGCATATATAGAATAGATAACATAACATAAATGCTCATTTTAGTTTTTTTCTTGTTATTCAGCAACGTCCTATTTCAATTTCATCTGGCGTTCTCGGAGCAGTAACTGAATAAAGTATCAGCACGGATCCCGCGGAGGCCTCTGGCGAAAACCGGAACCGTGCCACGGCGGCATCGCGCTCTGTGGCGGTGTATTTTTGCTCCGGGCTCGTCCCCGGCGGGCCGTGAGGTAGCCGTTCCTCTCCGGCCGAGTGCGCTGCGTGTGGCCACCGCGCCCCGGGGGTGCGTCGGCGCGTGACCTCGGTCCCGATCGCCCGCGGCGGCGTGATGGGTCGCTGGCGCGGCGCCTGTCCTGTCGGCGGGAGCCGGCCGGCCGCCTGACCTCGCCCCAGTTGGCCTGATCCAGCGGCGATCGACCCGACAATCCCCGCGCGACCACTCCCCTGTCCTCCCCTCCCCACCCGGCAGAATCTGGGCTCATCTCTCTACATTCATCTTCGGCCCTGTCTCGGCTCAGACTGCAGGACAGGCGCGGCGGCTGACGACAGCAGTTCTCAGATCCAGTCGGACCCCACGTCAGGTCAGGGTAGGCAACACTCGAGACACAGTCATCGACACCGATTCAAAAGTATGTAATGATAACAAAGACTCATAAAAACGTTCGCATATAATGACGCTTGTAGCCTGCTGCTACTTGTTAGCATCGGTGCATTCCTCGCATCACTAAATCAGATTTTTTTTTGTCTGAAAAAGTCTATCAAAAAAGAAATAAAGATTCAATGCGCATTATCACTCGCCGCATTAGCCCATATCTGTCTAGTTAGCATTCCCAGACTGTTTCTAAAATCCACCGACTTTCAGTCGCTTGTGTAAAGTACGTTGTCGACAAAACATTGATGAAAACAAAGTTAGCATTCTGCCTTGGTATCTCAAAAGCGTAGGGCTGCCCATAGTGATTTACTTGCATACCTAACTCGTTAAATAATTAGGATTTATGGAACAGGAAAGTAAATTATCAATTTGATATGCAAGTTGTTGTAAACATTTGAAGATCATGCGTGAGATAAAATGTATATTTTGCATTCTGAAAACAGAAACCATTTGCTCATTTTAGGTGTACATAAATGCGCTGATCTATTTATTAATGAATGATGAATTAGGAATGTGAGGACAAGTGTTCAAACCTTCCGAGATAACGCATTAAAATTTCATCTTCATATGATCTAATAAGTCGCTTCGAATGAGAAAGGCCTATTGCACCAAACTACCTAGCTAGGTAAAATCGAAAAACCGGTTTCAGAATAAGCTAATCTAACGGTGGTAAATTTGTTTGCAATAGCCCAATGCATAATCCTACATGTGCTTGCTGAATTTTGCACGCAAATTGTTACATTTGAGACTTGGACTGGGTATACGATGCAAAATAATCCAAGCATTGGTGCAAGAGGATTTTGGTGCAAGAGGCCTCTGACGTTTAAAATACCAAATCTTGCAATATCTTTTAACCCGCGCCCCGTTGGGCTCTGCCGAGCAACGCGCCCCGTTGGGGGGTGGGGCATTTTGCCCCCCCCCCCCCTAAGATCTCGAGAACCACGCAACCTAGCGACAAGCGGCAAACGGTGTTGGATAGCCCTATCAGGGAACTACCTTGTGACCCATTTTTATTGACCTAGGTCAAACCGATGACGTCACAGGTCAGGCAAAGGTCCAATTTTCACCGTTTACAGGCATTTCAAGAAATGCGTTGTAAAATCGAGTAAAATGCATTTCATTGAAAATCATCGATGGGGAAATGTTCTTCAAACACATATTTTGCTATTTGAGGTCACTGATACCAGGTCAGGTCACAGAGGTCAGGTCACGGGGGGTCACAATATGAAAGTGTCGTGTGATACATGTTTTATGGTCCATTTTACATGACGAATGCGACTATGTGGGTCAGGCAGCCTTTGGGGCCAGCTTAGGTCACGTTTTGGTCAAGGTCAGGTCAAGGTCAGGTCAAGGTCAGGTCAAATTTCAAAGTTAATATTTTTGCATAAAATGGGTATCGACGGGGAGTCAATGGTGGTCTTTGTTTTGCCGTACGTGGTCTAGAATCGCTAAAAATTGAGTTCAAAAATTTGACGTCATCATTTTTGAACAGTTTTTTCGCTATAACTTGGCCAAAAAACGAGATATCGATCTGAAATTTAGTATGTATATAGAACAGCGCAGGGACTATCACATATATTCCGTTTTTTTCGAAATTCGGAAAAAATTTGGATTTTTTTTAGTTTTTCTAAAAAAAATCAATTTTTTGATTTTTTTTTTGGGTCAAAAAACCAAAATTTTGAAAATCCGAGATGGCAGTTTTGTAGCGCCGCTTTTTGTCTACTAGACCATATAAAGAACTTTGAAATTGCTTGATAACTGTAGATTTGGTGAGCGTTTCAAGATTGCATGTTTTTTGCTCATTTTTGCTCGAACATGACCTCAGTTTGACCTCAATAACTCCTGACCTAAGGTGACCTAAGACTTGAAATTTGGTGTGAAGGTGTCAAATTGATGTCCGGGAAGGTACTGAAAATTTGGCGGCAGCGCCGCCGTTTTCTTGCTATTCAGGAAAAACCACAGGGGGGGGGGGCAAAATGCCCCCCCCCCAACGGGGCGAGGGTTAAGATATATTTTTATTTCCAGGGGAAATAAATGTAAAAGAAGCCAGTCATGCAGATTCCATTTCCGTCTCCAACCGGTCGCGTCAGATCCACCTGCCTGCTGCTCATTGGCCAGTCTGTCACTGATTTGCACCCATGGACCCGCGGGGACCAGTCCGCCGCCGGGTGTACTCGGTGTCTCCCACACGGCACCGACACCCCGGCGCCGAGCGGGTCCCGGGGGCCGGCCTTCCGGCGGCCGCCGCTCCGCCCTGACCTTTGGTGATCGGCGGTGGGCGAACTTGGGCGGCCCCTGTCGGCCCCGGCCGGGGACCTGTTCCGGCGCCTCCGGCCCGCTCCCCAGAGCTCCCAGACACGTCGGGCGCGCCGGCCATTTCTCACCGGCCAGCCGATCCCAATGGCTGCCGTGGAGCCGCCGCCTGGTCAGCCCGGCCCCCGCGTCCGGCCAGCCCCGGCCCCGGCGGCCCAGTCCGGCCTCCGGGGAGGTAACGGCCATTGATCATCGACACAGACCGGTCACGGGCAGGTCATTAACCGAGCTTCATCAGGAACGCTACGGCCGCGCCGGCCGGCAGAAATAACACGAGAAATGGCCGGGACGGAAACTTGAATGGCTGAAGTTCAGGGTGATTCACTTTAAGAGTATCATCACTGCAGAAGCCAAGCCCACCTTATCACTCAATCACCAACTTCCGTTCAGGAAACCATTCTATTTTCCTTGCCAGCAGATCGTATCAGATCCGAGTGCCATTACCATATGCAGATGGGTCCGATTGCTGCGGGCCCCGGCTCCCGTCAATGTCAGGCCGATATCCTACGTGACAGTATTCGAGCCGTGCCCTCTCACTGCCACCAGCGATAATCGAACCATTTCCATGCCGGCGACACAGCGCCGATCATGAGAAACGGATTTACAGTGAAACATTTAATAACCTGAGGTCACCCATTTCCTGAAAATATCACGTGGCTGCGGTCAAAACGGTCGCCTCCTATGCCGCAATATCATTGCCGGCAGCTGTGACCGGTTTCGTCGCTTCCAGCTCCGGTTTGCTGAGCACGATCGCCACACAATATCTGCCGAGCCCGGCTCAATTCGGCCTTCTCACTGTCCAGACGGCGGCTCGGTGGCGGGGCCAGACAATTTGGAGAGGCTTCACCTCGCTGGCTCCGGGCTGCGCACTTATTCTTTCTGTGGACAGCTGGCCGAGCCGGCCTGTCAGCCCGTCTCCAACAGACACGGCCCGCCAGAACCAGACCGAGTATTTCGGGAGGCCAAATACCGGCCGAAGTTTGAGGAATTGTCGTGGAATAGTTTACTGTGAGACGTGCAGGCCTGGCCCGTCGCGAATGGCTATGCCATTTCTAATTACAACTTGACAGTTTTCATGATAAAGTGATAAGAACATGACAGTCAATTTATGATTTATGACAAAACATTCTAAAATATTCACATTTCTACCACATAACACACAAGTTTCAATAAAATTTGAACGTTCATTCAGGCAACCGATAATACCCATTGTCCAATGTCGTAAGCTTCTCAAGCAGTCACACATTTGTTTACGGGGCAGCGCAGCGTTGTTCAACATTAAGAAAACGGAAGTTTTCACCTTTTATTCATTCCTCTCTAGCAAAGAAGGAAAAAGAATAGCGAAAAAAAACATATAAGTCAACTGCAAATGGCAAATTCTCATAGCAAGAAGGAGCAGGGGCGGTCGCAGACTTGGAGTTTGGGGGGGGGGGCCAACTTGTCAAAGGGGCCCCTGCGCTGACCCGGGGGGCCCGGTGCTAGCTTAAAGGGGCCCACGGACGTAGTGCACGGGTGCAGAAATCCAGGCCATGGCCGGTGAAGCGGGGGGGGGGGGGGGGGTAGTGAGCGGCACCCGAGAGGAGGCTCATTGCGAAATGCGAGCTTTGAGGGTGTACCATGTCAAAAAGGTACCGATAAGTACATTTTGAAACATTGATATTGTCAATAATTCACGTAACTGTGAATGGACTACCGCAAAAGTAAAGGCGGCGCGGCTAACTTTGCCATTTTCTAAGATCATCGTGCTAAAACTTTTGACGGTGGGTCATCGGTATCTGTTCACTGTTCAATCACATGTGTTCCGTTTCATCTTTTTTTTTTGTTTTTACTTGAACACAAATGTAAGTTTTGAAGGC